GTATAAATCAGTGACCTGTCCGGGTAACTGAAAATTTCAGTGGCCTTGCTAATTATGCTCTTTTCTGACCAAAACCTCAAAAATCATGCTCTCCATGCCCCCATTCACTGCTCTTTGGCCTAAAATTCGAATTTCCAAAAAACGCCGTACGGCCAATTGGGTACGATTGGGTTGTGAAGGGGGAAAATGTGGCTCCAGTTTCGGGGCCCATTTGCGATTGGGCTGGAGTAGAGATGAGAAGCGGGGAATTGCCTCATCTGGGACGAAATCGCAAATTGCGCACAAATCCCATCCAGAATGGATAGCAGTCAATGGATAGGGTAGATACTCGGCTGTCTGGCTACGATATATTTCCGAGTTTTTTCTAGTTCGAAGTAGGGAGGGATTTTGAGCGGATTGATGTCGCGCAGCTTCATGTCGAAGCCAAGCCAGCTTGAGTGGCTCGAAACACAAGTCAAGCTGGCTTGAGAGGGAGAGATAGCAAAGGAAGAAGAAACACTAGTGGCCTTCCCGCGCAATATTGATCGCCTGGTATCGATTGGAAGGTACTGTAAGGCTAGGGTCACTGAAATAAATAGCGAAAAATGCGAAGTTTTACCCTTTTAAAAGCTGTAGTAATAGACCGGTAAAACGTGTATGTATGTGAACTTTTGATTCTCAAACCAAAATTCGGGTATTCACGGAATTTTTAGTTATCCAATTTTCGATTTTAGGTGAATAAGTAAAGGTTAAATTTTCTCCTACTCAAAATCAGACACATTACTCATTCCCGGAGTTTCCATCTCGGCGTTTCCGCTTATCCCAGCAGCACGTGGGCGGCTTCTGCTAAACTTCCTGGATTCGGCAAGCAACCCCTCATTTTTCAGATTTTCAACACCCTCCTTCCAAAAATCCCTAGGGTGTATTCGATATATCTAGACAGTGTTGAGAGAAGAGAATATATAGATACCCCTAGGATCTCTTCTGGAGGGCAATGGTTACTTCCTGACTTCAAGGGGAAAAGATACCAACATATTTCATAGTCTTACCTAAGCAGTGGCTGTTCTTCAGTTAGAGACCTCAGCCCCCCTCCCTTGGCTTTATTCTAATCCTCTTTCGGGTTGTCCCAAATCATTCATTGTCCACCTTCAAGGCTTTGGAAATCCCCCACAAAGGAATGCCTACATTCTTTTGGGCTGCAACGCGGCTTCGAAGTTTTTTTCCATAAGAGAAAAATTGTTTTCGAAAATTTAATTTTAACAAAATCTTAAATATGTTTAATATATGTTTTTGTCACTTACAAACGTTTTAAAACTTCACCTAAATTTTTTAGCTAGCAAAGCAGCTTTATAAATTTTCAAAAAGATTTTCTCAGAAAAAAACTATTTTTAGAATTTTGAAAATTTTTGATTTTTAGGTATAATTTTTCTTTTTAGTGTCACAAACACAATTTTTCCTGAGAAAAACTCCCCACCAGCCATTTGGTAAGTATTTTCAGTCTAAAAACCTCCCAAGTGTTTTCCTGAACCCCCAAATTCCACGGCAAGACAAAGCACTTCCGGTTTAGCATTCAAAAGGCAGGGAAACGTAGACACGGAATTGTCTTTTAAAAGTTTTTTTTCAGTGTTGCTCAGTGCAGACACATCTACCGTATGTCAGTTAGTCGTTTTTCTCTTTTTAGGGTAGTGTAACGGGCTGATGACGTCGTTTTCTAGCAGTGGTGGGGGGGTGGTGGTTGAAGCCCCGCCCTATCTTTTCGGCTTCTGGCATAGGCTATAGCCCTCTAGCCATCCCTTTTCCTTCTAAAGGCATACTTCTACTCCATTCAGCACCACTCGTTTCTTTTCAGGTCTGTCCCATTCCAATTTCAAATCATTTAGGGGAGAGAAAGCTACAAAGTGGTTTGGTGATGACGTAAGTGGACATTTTACGCTGTATCCTAAAAACGCCTTAGCTTGTAGATTTTTTACCGGATTACGGTATCACTTAGCTGTATCGAATCTAGCAATTTGACATTATCTACAGTACTCGGGGTGAAATTTCGAGGGTTTTGAAAGGAGGAGGGTCACTGAATTGTATTTTTCACTTTTTCGTTAATTCCAAAATTTTAAAATCGATTTAAGATTGATAGATGCCAGTTTAAGGCATCTCAGCCAAATTCAGAATTGATATAATCTTTAGGACTCGAATTCCGAGGGCCACTGAATTCAAGCGAAGTTCTGATTTCAATTTTGCGAAAAACCCTTAACCTGTATTTTCTTAGTTGTATTAGAGCGCGACTTCTGCCAGTACGAAACATAGTTGGTGGATTTCACAAAATTCCCCAGGAATTTCGAGGATTACCTCATTACATACCTCGCACCACCTCCAAGCGCTTCCCCCCTTCCATTCTAACTCCGATTCCTTTTCACTCTGAAATTCCACCTTCCGTTTCGAATTTTTGATTGGCGTCAACCCTCTATCTGTCTGTCTGTCTGCCTCTCTCCCCCCCTCTCTCTCTCTCTTCTAGCTCAAATATGCACCCGAAAATTTCGAGGATGGGGCAGAACCTTCGACACTCCGTCTAGACTCCTCTTTGGTTCCCAGATGGATTGTTTTCTAGGAGGGAACCAATTCTCACGATTCTTTCGTTGATATTTAAGGAGGGTAGAAGGTATTCAAAAAACGTTCTTTTTGACGTGGGAATCTGATATAATTACTAAAGGGGATGGACAGATTTGTGATCGAGTCTAGTCAAGAAAGAGAGAGAGAGAGAGAGAGAGAGAGAGAGAGAGAGAGAGAGAGGAGAGAGAGATTAATTATACTTGCAGATATAAGGGAAAGTCGCTGGGGGAACGCTAGAAAAGAGAGACAGTGAGAGAGAGACAGAGAGATCCAGCTAGAGTGAACGCGCGTCCTTAGCCGAGAGTGGGCGGTTTTATATTTGAAAATGAGGATGTGAGAGATCGGGGCATTAGAAGCTCACGTATCAGTTACCTCATTCATTAATTCAATATATAAAAGGTTAATATAGGGTTCAGATTGTTCTATGGATGCCAAGTAAGATGATGCTATCTCGAAATGTTGAGTTAGGTTTGGTTATAGAGAAAATTAGCTAGGGTAACTGAATGGCAGTTAAGACGACAGACTCTAAATTAAAGTTATGCTTCTTGAAAGTTAATAGATTGGGTAACTGAATGGAAGTACGCCAAAAACCACAACTATCAACCCATAAAACACCCCAAAATACCAGTCCCGATCAAACGTGCGTAGCTGCCCTCCCCTTCTCTCTTCTGACTGCCTATGATGATTTTTGAATGGGTATTTATTTGAGTGACGAATGAGTAATAGGAAATATGGTTGTTATATGTCCTCATATCCTCTCATCAATCATTTCTTTCTCCCCTCTCTATCCAATAAAATGAGTCCACAAATATTCTCCCCTCTATGTTCAGACTAACTTTTACGTTTCCCTAATTTCTAAAGTTTTGTCTAGAGCTCGAAAATCTGTGCCCCCTCTCGTCTTTCGGAACACCAAGGAGATTTATAGGCTTGTATTAACCAGAAACAAATGGTTGCCAGTTTTGGGGGTTTGTTGTTGTTAGGGGCGTAGTTGGCATTGACGTCGACATTGGCTTGCAGAGATGATATTTTTTGGCTTTAGCGCTCCTTTAATGCTTCGAAAAATTCTGTGACCTTTAAGAATTTGTATGTTGTATTAAGGAGCAGGGATTATTTGACTTTAATACGCCTTTAAAGCTTGTAAGAAATTCAGTGACTGTTTCAAATGTCAGCTGTATGGTGTTGTAGCTCCGCAAATCAAACTAGACTTCAATGGCCCTTTAAAGCTCATAAAAAATTCAGTGCTCTTTTGAAACGGTAAGTTGGGCTACGTGGTGCCTGTAGGATTTACCCTTGACTTCACTAGCCCTTTAAAACTCGAAAACAAACCTTTGGGAGGTGTAATTTGGTAAGCGGCGTACCTTTTGATGCCAAAATTGACTTCAAACCCAGCAAAACTTTCAGATACATTCCCAAATTCAGTGACCCTCCCTAATGTCGTCTATTTTTTATCATAGATACAACTTCCCTTCGCCAACCCTTTCACCCTGATTTCAGCCAGTTGAAGCGTAGCGATGTGCGTTGAATATTCCCAGAGGCCACATTTTTCACTACCCACCCAACACAGCTATCCCGTACGTGGCCCTCAGATCTCACTTCTGATGTCAGCTTAAAAAACGCAACCCAACATTTCTCAAGATAGGGGGCGGAAATAGCAGAGAATGGCAAAAACAGGAGTATAAAGGAGCGGCCAGATAGAACAATGGAACTATTTTTGAAATTTCAAAAAACAAAGAAATGAAGCTACGACAATAATCAGTAATTCACTAACTACCTAGACTGGAATCCGCATATCTTTTATTAAAAATACTATTTTATACTTTAGTCTTGACTTAGTGACCCTACTCACCCTCGAATCCAGTTACCCAGTCACTATTTCTAAAGTTAGCACACATTGACGGGATGTTGGGGGATGCAAAGAGTGAAATGGCAGGCATTGGATAAGAAGAAGGGTTTGAAATGAAACGGGGCTATGCAACCAATCAAAATGTCCAATATAAACGCCATTGGTTGAGGGGAGAGGCCAGTGTGTGTCCCAATTAGAAAAAGGCCCCCCCCCCTCACACTTCCGCCATCAAAGAACTTGGGAGCGGTTGTAGGGAGTATTTTGTCGTTCGGATGGCTCAGAGAATTCAGTGACCCTGTGGGTAACTGAAAAATTCAGTGACCTTTGAGGGTAACTGAATTGTTTTGGACATTAAAACAATTTATAATTAGTTTCACAACCAGCCCGTTACACATTTTACATTGCTGAAATCCGTGAGACCTTGGGAAAACGTTGTACCTCATGAATACCCTGTTAATTGCGCTTTCAATGTAGATCCACTTCCGCTTGCCCGTTTTTTCATTTCATAAACGTTTTTCATAAATTCATACTCTCTATTCGTTTACGATAATCCATATCTTTACAGCCTTGAGGTATGTGGTGCTTGCGTACCCTCGTTTGTGTGCTCTGCTCGGCCCTTCTCTTCATCGCCAGCGCCCAGGCACGCATTCTTATTCCCTACGGTAAGTCTGTTTTCTATATTGTGCTCCGCAAAGTAGAATCTGGCTAGTGATTTATACAAATTCGGCTCCAAAGGGGGTAAATATTTCAGTTACCTTCCAGGGTCACTGAATTTTCTTGCGTTCAAATTTTTTCAAATCTAATAGTTAAAGCTGTAAAAAGTAGTGGATGATGTTCCTCGTGATCCAATCAAGGCTCAATTTCAGGCTACCAGCCGGGCGCCTACGGAGACTTCCTCCAAGTGAGTTTCTTCTCCCGTGAGTTCGTCAAGAACAAAAATGGCTTTCACGACGTGGCGCCCAAAATCCGATAAAATGCCCAAATATGATTTGGATTGGCGCGTTTCTGGGGTTTGAAAACAAACTGTGGAACTTTGGCGTCCAGGATGGCTAAAACCGACTGAGTATTAACGAAAAGGATTTTTAAAAACCTATTTTTAGGTCGACGGGAATGACGATGGCTTCATGGCGCAAAAGCGAGCCCCATCGGCTGGTGATATGATGGTCCGCTTTGGATAACCGAATGCTTTGGGTACTGTATTCCCCCAAACTGTATAATTGCCATTTAGAATTCAGCCTGCTGATCACTCAAAAAATTGTCTACCCAAAAATCGGCCGCCCAGCCAAACTTCTCTTCAAAATTGCGTCGCTCCCAATAAAACTCTAGTAAATGCAAATGAAATAAATATTCCTTTGTTGCTGAAATTTACTTTTTAAGCGGAAATACATTGTATAGAATGCAGAGTAAATTATGCACAGGTTTAAATTGTTTTTAAGTATTATTTTTGATGCCATTTAATCAGGGTAACTGAATTATTTATGAGTAGACAGACAGACGGACACTTATATTGATGGAAGGTTAGCACGCGATCCCCCCTTCCGGCCCAATGCTAACCAAAAGCCTTCCGCATCCTTATTTCATTTCTGCCAGTCTGCCTTTTCTAATATTTTCTAGAATTTCATTACTAATATTTTTAGGCAAAATGGTGACCGATCCGGAAAAAGTTGCCTCGGCGGTCAAGAAAAGCGGGTTGTTGGCTAGAATATCGAAGGTAAATCTTTTTTATGAAATATTTAAATGTTGTAATGTTATTAAAACGCTTGAATGTCTTAAATTCTTATTTTAAACAACACGCTATTAATTTACAGGCGTTGTATCGTGCCCCTGAATTCAGTTACCCTGCAACATACCTACATAAAAATTCAATATTTTATCTTTTTTTACGTTACTCACCTTCTAAAAAAAGCTCATTTTATCTTTAGTTCGTATTTTGTAAGGCATCCCGGAAATTAGGGCAATCGTTCAGCCCCTGGCTGCATCCGGAGGTATACACTCCGCCCTTAATTACCCCCAAAAACCGGCCGGACCTCTCGGCTTTTTCCGGTGCTTACATCGAACAATAGGGAGGGAGCGGGGTATTGTTTCGTAGTGTACCAAGACATCTCATTACAGTTTAACGAAATCATTGCTGGAAAGCTATAAAAAAGGGATTAACAGGGAAGAAGCCGTAGAACAGGTCACTGAATTGGCTGTGCTTTAATGGTGATAATTTGTAATTTGTAGCTAAGCGTGCTTGTCAGTGATGTTACGGTATGCCAAAGCTAACTGTGGCAAAAAAAGTTGGAAATTACCGCTTCAATCCAGTGGTCCTCCTGATCGTCATAGGTCTCTGAATTGGTTGAAGTATATTATGAATCTTTGTAGTTTGTAGCTAAGCTTTGCTATTCAAAAACCAGGATACTGTATGCCAAATCTATTTGGGACACAAAAATGGTGGAGAACATTCTCGAAAAACGCGATTTCAATTCAGTGACCCTCCCCAAATTCAGTGACCTCGCAGCTTTTTTTAATTTCTACCGCTTCTAAGTGGTAGTTACATTTCAGAAAGCAGTAGAATACAGAGCAAAAGGATAATTGGGGGTGTTTGGGCTAGGTATTGGGGGATAGTATTCTCAAGGGGGCTTGTTAGTGCGGGTGGGGGCAGGTAGGGATGTGCTGATTGGGTGTTTTGTCATATTCACACCTTCGAAAGGAGACTAAGAAGAAGAGAGGCGCCACATTTATCTATCTGGCTTTCAATGCAGTGGTAGAGAAAGAGAGAGAGACAGACAGCGAAAGATACCATGGAAACGGAAGGGGGGAGGATGGGACAGGAAGGGGATAATGACTAGCACCCATCTCTCTCTTCCTATCTGTCTCTCTCTATTTTTATATCTCTCTCCTTCCTTCTGCCATCTATCCCTTCCGTCCAGGACCATCGTTGGGCCACAACACACGTACACCCACGCGTTCCACCGGATTTCCGGGGCCTTCCGGCTGACCCGTCCTACTCTCTTTCTCAACCCTCATTTCGATTGGATTATCGAAATTTCCAACGATTTTTCTTTCCATGGCTTCGTTGTGTACCAGCTTGAGCTTTTCTGGCTTTCGTTTTCAGTTTCCCAGTTTGTACTCTGTATTCTACCCTGAACCAATTCAGTTCCCTCAAGCATCAAAATCCATAACACCCCCACTGTACCTGCCTAAATACCACCCATATCCCTCGATTCTCAATGAATTACCCTAGAAATAGTCCCCGATCGACCAGTAGAGAGGGCGAGAGAGCGAGAGAGTGAGAGAGACAGAGAGACGCAGAGACAAAGAGTTAATGTGCTCATTTCCTGTACTCAAGGCTGGGTGAATATTCTTTTTTAGGGCGTTGTGAACGTCTGTTCCATTTGGATCAGTCTATAATATCCTAAATCTTATTAACTGTATATAAATATGTATAATTTTGTTACTTCCGGGGTATCTTGGCATTAATGGGCTATTAGGGAGAGGATGCGATTATTGTTGCTAATCTGGTGGTGGGCAGTTGTCTGGAAGGGAGGGAGGGATTATAGAGAAGAGAGAGAGAGAGAGAGAGAGAGAGAGAGAGACAGCTAGAGAAATCTGCTCCTCAGTAAATCGCTGATTCTTTTGTTATTGAAAATGCCGGATCCTTTCCCCTGGCCGCCTTTTATTCTCATCTAAACGGTTTAGTTGATCGCTCTCCCTCCAATATTTGTATAGAAATGATTTCACTCATTCTAAAACTAATATCTTCTTCCTTTTTAGACAGCCAAAGGTTTTTTAGTAATTTTTTGATAAGTTCTCTTTTAATTGCTTTAAAAACTCGAGGCAACTGAATTTTTCAGTTACCTCTAGGTAGTTTAATCGATAGATACTTTCGATTTTTGTATAGTCCTAAACATTCTAAGCACTATAGTTTTAGCTTTCTTGGCATCTAAGCATTTTCCACACAAATTTCGAATATATTTGCTTTAATTGTTTTAAAAATATTAAGGTCATTGAAATTTATATAAACTTTTTTCGAGATATCAATGATTTTATACATTCTAAACTTTATGATTTCTCACTTTCGATACAAAGCGTTGTGCAATTTGTGCTTTCATGTATAACTCTTAATTTTTATTTTATGATGAGGTAACTGAGTTGCAGATGGGGGATACGGGGCCCTCAACATCTCAGGGGGAACCGGAGCCCCAAAGAAGAAGATTCCCCCGAAGACTACGACCTGATTCTAGTCATCCATATAGAGATGGACCTCCTTCTAATGTGATTCCTAAATCCCAGCCATTATCGGTATTAAAAGAGGATGGAAGTAATGAAAATACAGAAAGACCGGAAGCTGCTCCTCCTGAGCCAGAAAAAGGCTCAGAAAAACCTAAAGCATTCCTGGAACCTCGTCCTGATAATTTTCTAAGTCCAGAAGCTGCCAGAAAGAACGAAAAACCTGCTAAAACAACAACCAATTCAAAAGAAACTGCAGAAAGATCAAAAGCCTATATCCCGACAGCGCCAGAAAATGGAGAAAAGTCAAAAGAAGAAGCTAAACCTGATGCTCCTACCCCAGCTCCTGCTCCAGCTCCTGCTCAACCCCCACCTCCTACTGTTCCTCCAGCTGCCGCCCCAAATGGAACAGTTGCAAATCATCAACCTCCTCCTCCTCAAAAATCCGCCTCAGCCGCCACGAAATTCACCATCATCGCCAAGGTGGCCAAAGTATATTTTTGCATGACTGTCGCTTGAATACTAATTACAGTAATATATATAAAAAAATAGTGTCTGTGTGTGTGTGTGCCACTTTGCATGCAACTTCCGTCAGCGTGTCCGGAGGATATCTCAAGAGGGCAGGGGTTTTAAGGGGCGTTTGATACGTCATTAGGTGCGTAATGGCTCTGGGATGACTGCACGCATGTCAGATTTTGCAAATTATGCTATTTTCGACATTAAATTTAGATTTTAGTGAAATTTTCGGGCACCCTCTTTGTTAGGAAACAATTTGCATGCGCCGGAAGTGGTGGGGGTCTATATAAAGGGGCAGAGGGAGCGTTTTCCATTATTTTTCATCGCAGCCCGGACGAATTACGCAAAGTGAAGAATAACATGGGCTCAGACGGGGCCAGGGTTGAAAAGTCGCGTAGCGGCTTTTCAACCCTGGTTACAGTAACTAATATCGCAAACCTTTTGCATGGTTTTAAACTGGCTATAAAACTATGGATCTTATAAATTTGAGCATGAAAAATTGACTGAAAATGCATGGCTTGAAATCTACCAACCAGACAAAAATCACCTTAATTAACCTTAAATATCAAGATTTAACTTTAATTTAGCAAATATCGATTGACTTTTTATCTGCACGTTAACTGGCTATTAAACTATAAAATGTTATTATTTAGAACATTTGAGCATGAAAACTAACCCTAAACGCATGGCTTGAAATGTACTAAACAGTCAAAATCACCTAAACCTACAACTTTAAATTTAATTATCGGTTATTTGTTTTAGTTAATGCGAAAGAACAATCGAGTGACAGACACGACAGCCGCTGACCATGCTGAATTTATGGGGCGATTTGGGGTTGGAGGGCAAGAGGTTGCTGCAGCCGCCACAAAGGAGGAAGAAGCTCAAGAGGGTGACTGAATTGAATTTTTGAAATTCAAAACTTTACAAAGGTTTCATTTACTACTTTAACTTTTACAGGACCCAGATGGAAAGTGTGGATGAAAAAGGGAGTACTGGACACGTCAAAAGACGGGTACAAATTTTTTTATAAAAAAAAAATCGATACTTTTGTAGGTATTATTACTGGACGATAATCGTCACAATCGCCTTTATATACAATCTTTTATTTGTCATTGCAAGATATGTATTTTTAGGTGGGTTTTTGAAAATTTGAAATTCCAAATTCTGGATAACATAACGTCTAGCAGCTGTAGGATCGGCTTATTTCCGGCCAGTCTGGGGGTAAAAAATCTCAAAAAAATCTGGATTTTGAACTGGAAATACTTGGGGTGTATTTTATAATCATAAATACTTAACTGACACGTAATTTAATCGAAAATGTAGTTTGTAGTTTGAAATCGTACCATCGAGCTGAACTCACCCTCCAGGGTCGCTGACCCCCTCAGTTACCCTCGAGGGTCGTCGAATTGTCTAAACTATCTGACCTAATATAAAAAATAGTCTATGACTTTAAATACCATCCAGCTCAACAAAAAAATCTAACTTTCTAGAATTGGAAAAGCATCCCTGGTGGATTCTATGGTTTTTTCTGGATGCCTTCTTCGATGGTGTGTATTTAATGGATATGTTTGTAAGAACAAGAACGGGTATTGTAGTTTGTACTCTATTTTTTATATATATTTTTAGGTTTTCTTGAGCAAGGTCTCCTCGTTCGTGATCTCGACAAAATCAAGAATCTCTACAAGAAAAGTCGACAATATAAGGTCGACCTAATCAGCATGATACCTATAGATTATATGAATATGTTAATTAAACAGGTAAGATATACCTATAATATGGTAAATAGATAGTATTTCTGTCAATTTAGGCATTATCAATATTCTTTCCTGATTATCAATATCGAGGGCTGCCATTTCGGTTGAATCGGTTATTTCGTACACAGAGGGTCACTGATTGTGTTGAGAGGACAGAAACGAGGTAAGTCGTCTAGATTCGCTAAATTTAAATCAATTTTATAAAATTTATTTTCGATTCTAGTCATTTTAATTAAATTCATCGCCATTTTTCATTTGATTTGACTTTACGCAAATTTTAAATAAAAAAGCGAAATTTAGGTGAGTTTCTGGCATTTCGACTAAACTCGTGTAATTTACAAAAATTATTAAATTTTGATTAAATTTAACGTATTTTTATAGATTCTAAATTAAGTTTAAGCCAGAACTAAATCTAAATGTCACATCTAAAATTGCGGTTAAATTTCGGCCAAATTCTCCGAATTTGCATGAATTTTCCAAAATTCCACTAAATTTACGCAATGTACAAAAAGCTTGGAATTTTGACTAAATTTAAATGCACTTTCCTAGAATTTAGGCTAACTGTAACCCAATTTAAACAAATAAATCAATAATAAAGCTAAAATACCCCATTTTTCAGAAGTTCAATGCCAAATGCGTTCCGCGTGTGCTGTGTCGTGTGGTATATCATCGTTATTATCCACTGGAATGCCTGCTTCTACTTTTTCATTTCGGAATATATTGGCCTGGGCAATGATACCTGGGTATACGGGCCATTAAATAAGCAGAGTTTACCTGAGTAAGCCTCTATTTTAATAGTTCTAGCCTAAATTCCTTCAGTGGAGTGGATGATACCCTCTCAAGAAGATATATCTACAGTTTTTATTGGTCTACATTAATTCTAACTACAATCGGAGAAGTATAAACCACAAACTGGCTAGAAATAAGTAAATTTAGGTGCCAGGCCCGGTGAAAGATGTTGAGTTCTTTTTTGTAACTATGGATCTGATGTGTGGGGTGCTGATTTTTGCTACAATTGTCGGAAATGTCGGAAGGTACGTAATTAACTTCAAATTCTATAAAATATCTACCAATTTAAAGTATGATCTCCAATATGAGCGCCGCTAGAACCGAATTTCAAAATAAAATGGACGGCATTAAACAATATATGGAATTAAGGAGGGTCAGCAAACAGGTGAAAATCTTTATAATTAAATTTAAACTTCGAAAATTCAGCTAGAAATGCGTGTCATCAAATGGTTCGACTATCTGTGGGCCAATAAACAATCGTTGAGTGATCAACAGGTTTTACAAGTGAGTATTAGAGATTTCAAAGCACTACCCCTATCACGTATTACGCCTCCTTACAAGCCACTCCCGTTTTTCTATCCAAAAATCTACCGGAAAATCTTAGAAACCATTTTTCTTCTAAACTGTAGTAAAACGAATTCATAAACCCAATTTTATATACCAAAATCCATTAGAAAAACCCAGTTACCTTCCCATAACGGCAAAATTCTAAAGCCAATTCTGTGATCCTAGGTTTTACCCCAAAATTAACAACAGAAAAATCTCAAACGTCGTGTCCCTTCTAAACTGTGCTAAAACACATTACTAAAATGCAAAAAATCTACTATGTACCCAAAATCAATTAAAAAAAACTCACTAACCTCCCCTCTCTAGGTCCTCCCCGACAAGCTCCAAGCCGAAATTGCCATGCAAGTCCATTTCGAAACCCTTCGAAAAGTGCGCATCTTCCAGGTACAGTATGCTCGCCAGAATACCTAAAAACAATATTTCAGGATTGCGAGGCGGGATTACTAGCAGAATTGGTGTTAAAACTACAATTACAAGTACGTAAACCTCAAAAAACATCAATTTTTTAAGGTATTTTCACCCGGGGATTACATATGTAGGAAAGGAGATATCGGCAGAGAGATGTATATTGTTAAACGCGGGAAATTACAGGTATATTGGCGATAATAAAATTAAAAAATACAATTCTAGGTGGTAGCCGACGATGGTTCCAAAATATTCGCCACTTTACAAGAGGGGGCTGTCTTCGGGGAGTTGAGTATATTAAACATTGCCGGTCAGTTTGTAAAAAATTCTAGTCAGTTAAGCTTTTAAAATAGTATTTAAATCAAAAAATTGAATTTAGGCAGTAAAAACGGGAATCGGCGAACGGCAAACGTCCGATCTGTCGGATATACCGATCTCTTCGTTTTGAATAAAAATGATTTATGGAGTGCTTTAAGGGAATATCCCGACGCTAGAAAGTTATTATTAGCCAAGGTGAGTCAGAAAGAGTTTTGAAAACTAAAAAAACACCAAAAAAAGACGCTAATAATCCAAAAAATCACTTTAGGGCCGAGAATTACTGATGAAAGACGGATTACTAAACGAAACAGCGCCCGGTGAGCAGGTAAGTAGTAACAAGCATGTAGTTTGTAAGCCAGATGACAGAATTATACTTTAAAACCCGCAAAAATTCAGGCGTCTACCGAGGAATTGGCGGAAACGCTAAGCGCGGCGCTGAAGCATCTGCAGACACGACTGGCGCGAGTGATTGCAGAGAGGACATCGCATGAAACGAAGCTTAATAATAGGATAACTTTCCTGGAAACACAACTAAAAAGGTAGAATTTAATACAGTTTAATGGAATTTAGTATAGATTTTATAAGATACGCTAAAAATCTCGATTTAGATACAAAAATATGGCAGCTGAGAGGGCAAAAGAGTCGCCGAGGACCAGAAATGAGTAAGTTAATCTTAAAAAAATCTAAATTCTATTTTATTAAGACGTCGTCGAAAGAAGAAAGCTAATGCCGATGCCTAGAAAAATATACATTGCATTATTTTACAAAAAAAACGGGTCTTAGCAATTTTCTCGTTCTATCTCTCTCTCGGTTTTTCTGTTTCTCTCCATCTCTCCTCTCTCTCGTTCTCTCTTCTCTAACTGGTGCTCATTTCCTCTCAATTGCTCCGCTCATTTTCACTGACCATCAAAAAATTAGCCTTCAACGACATGCCATTTTCAAAGTTTCAAATTAAACACAAATAAAGTTTATTTTTCTGGTTACAAACATTTTAGATTCTCTAACAAAATCAACGTACCCGTAGAAAGACGACGAAACGAGGTTAAACAACAAACATTAATGAAAGTAAATACGCTGATTTTTGAATGCAGCAAGTATACAAAAACAGAAAATAGACATTCTTATAAGAAGCATTTGTAATAAGATGACGGCTTATTTGTAGCGATGGAGGAGCTGGCCGGTCATCCATTTACGGAGGTCGCTACGGTTCTAAAACAACAAAAATTAACCATATTTCTCAATCAAGATTTCCAAAAATTTTGTTTAAAAAATTCGAAATACCGAATAAAATCAATTCAAAAGTGACAAATCGTCAGTAATTAATCAAATAATAAAAAATACCTTAACCATGTATTCTTTGAGGGCAGGGCATTGATCGATGACGTCGTCGAATGGAACGTCCGAGGTGATTGGATCTGGAAAAAAATAATTATAAAAGAGTGTGGTTATTCGCTATTTGTTGTAGTTTGTAGTTTGTCTCGGATCATAAATTCTGTTTCGTTCGAGTTTGATGGAGTGTTATTTGAGCTGACAGGTGGCAAGCGGAAAAATGAAGCGAGAGACCGAGAACGGGGATAGAGATCACCCCGATTTTTGAACATCTAGTTTCGGAGTAAAAGCGAGAGAACGAGAGAGAGAGAGAGAGAGAGAGAGAAACCCACCAGGTTGCCATGCTACAAACAGTTGCTCTACCTCTAATTGGCTGCCATATTTTGCGAAATCCGCACTTTTCATTCAATTACGCTATGAAAATCAATCATAAAAAAATCAAATTCTTAATTTTTTTTCAGTAGATTATTATTCAATTCAAAAAATAAACCTTTTTAAATCAAAATATAAGCGTTAAAAACGAGATTTTCAACGTAAAAAGTGTAAACCTTCACTTTAAATGAATCAAAATAGCGTTTTTGGCGGGGTTGGAGATGCGATAACGGTAGTAAAAGCTAGAAATAATTAGTCCATACATTAATGATAGTTCTTTGGGTGCTCTCTGCCTCTCTCTCTGTCTCTCTCTCTCTGTCTCTATTTGAGATGGTTGTTTGATGTGGGCCAACAGCTGGCAGTCAGTCTCTCCTTTCCTTTCCTTTTCCCTCCATTTTTCTATGATTCGAGAGATGCAACTGACAATCCATGGACAGGGACGGGGGGGTTTCAGTCGGTTCAATTCTTTCCCCTTTCCCACACCCTAGAATGCACTTTTCAGCTTTTTGGTCTGATTCTAATCCGAATTACTGTAGATCTTGGTTTTTTTTTTACAAACTAGAGGTCGCCCCAAACTTTACTAGAATGACCAAAACCACTCAAAATTGACAAAATACAGCGCAAAAAGGATCCTCAGCCTTCAAATTGTCTTACTGTCGATTAAAATCCGAGATATTCAACCTGAAACTTGCAAAATTTTGAAAATCTACACTTTCAGGCCTTTGCGCCATCTTTCAGCCGGTTTATCTCGAGTTTTAAATCACGGTATACAATTTAAAACCAGAAAAACGGTCAGCTTTTTGTATTCTCTGTTTTCTAAATTTCGAGGAGCACGAGACGATTTGCAACAAGACGTTTTGAAAATTTGAGAAGTTTATTTTTAACGTCTCCCAGCCAGCTGCTTTAAGTTTTTAACAAATTCCTCACCGTATGGCAAATTGAAATTCCAGTAAGTCTTTTGCGAAGAGGCCTCTTTGTTGCCTTCGGCGGTCCCCTTTTCCTTCGGTTCTTCCTTTTGCCAAGATTCCGGCAAGGCCGGTGGCGGAGGGAGGGAGCGGCGGAAGAAGTCTTGGCGGCTCTAAATATAATACATGATTTTCATAAGCTATAAAACGATATTATACCTTCTGCCAGAATTCTTCTGCGTTGAAGACTTTCTCTCGCGGTTCTTTTTTTTGCCATTCTTTCGGCAAGCCGGGCGGCGGACGGAGAGGAGTAGAAGGAGAGCGATAGAAGTCTTCACCGCTCTAAATAATACATGATTTTCACAAGCTATAAAACGCTATTATACCTTTTTGACGAAATTTTCTTCATTGATGGAGACTTTTTCCTTAGCTTCTTCTTTTTGCCATTCTTTCGGCACGAGGGGCGGCAGATTGATGAAATTCCGGTTGTTTTGTTTGTAGTCTTCGCAACGCTAAATTAAATATCTTAAAAGCCCTCATTAAACAAATTATACCTTCTTAAAGTAGAATTCCTCCTTGCTGAGGACTTTCTCTTCATCTTCTTCTTCTTCTTGGCAATCTTTGGGCGCGGGCGGCAGGGTGTACCCCCAATACTTCTCAGCAGCAGTCAGCCCCTTGTGGCCTTCAGCGTACTAAATGAGAAGTTATAAAAAGCCTATTAAACCCGGTTATACCTTTTTAGCATCAAGCTTCACGGCCTCGTTTTTAGCGGTCTTAACCGCTTCGTTTTTGGCGTGCTTCGGTTCTCCTTTTTTCTCATCCTTCGGCTCTTCCTAAATCAAAATATCAATTTTCAATTATAATTATTTCAATCTCTATACTAATCCTAGAAATACATACATAAACAATTTTAATTTCTAGATGCACAAACTTCGGCTCTTACGCCATTTCCGGCCTCAATATTCGGCATGCTTGAATTTTGCTCAAATGCCCAAATCGTGAGTTTTAAAACTAATTTTAAAAATCGATATTTAGGGGGATTTTCGGGTATGAAATGCGGTTATTGTCAACAAGTCAAAAACGGAGGGACGGAAAGCATTGGGTTGATCCAGATGTACATCATTCGTCACCCGGAAGTCATGAGGAACCTGTATATCCGCCAGGGAGTGTTAGTTTTTTATCAAAATCTACAAAAAGTAAAAAATTACACTAGTTCTTCGCTAAAATACGTAAAAATTCAATATATTACACTCGATTTCTCATTAAAACGATAAAAGATGTAAATCTTACCTTAACAAGAAGGCTGCCAACTTTTTGCGATGTCCCGTAGCGCGACGAAACAGTCTTGATATCCCGCGGCGAGACCTTCTTCACCCCACGCGGCGAAAGCTTCTTGACATCCCGCGGGGAAACCTTCTTGGCAGCTCGCGGCGAGACCTTCTTCACATGCCGCGGCGAAATCTTCTTCACATTCCGCGGCGAAATCTTCTTCGAATCGCGCGGTAGCTAAAACAAACAAAGATATTTTTAATACAAGGTTTTTTATATACCTGACTCTCGAAAAAGACTTGGTCATCAATTTGGAGTTCCTCTTGCTCCACCATACTGCCAGAGAGGTCCAGATACTCCTGGGGACACTTCTTCAGCCAGTCCGGTTGGACGGTGGATCTAAAAAACATGAAATTGTGAAAGAATTAAAATCCCAACCGACGAGCCATCGGTTCTTTGCATTGGGGGCAAAGCGGCTTCTTCTTATCTTTGGCGCAGCTTTGCATGTAATCCTTTGAACAATCACTAAAAATATCCGCTTTTTCATACGTTTAACAAGATTTTTACAGTAAAAAAACACGTTTCATACGTTTTTATAGAAAAATCGTCTTCAATACTATCTTTTCGTCAAAATACACGTTAGGGAACGCTATCTTTATACTTTTAATGCTAGCTTTATAGTAAAAAAACGTTTCATACACTTTTATCGCAAGAAAAATACGTTTAATACGTGTTTCAAGCCAAAATATCTAATTTTTCTGGTCAAAAAAAGTCTAAAACGATTTAGTAGTCAAAAGAAAAGTTTAGCACGCTTTTTCATAGCAAAAAAAAATTTTGATACGGTTTTGACCCTTCTAAACGATATTTACCTGCAAAGAACGTGCGCGCAGGCCAACATCACGGGGTTTGTAGCTGTAGACTGGCTAAAATCAATCCATAGCCAGCCAGAAACTTGTAAAATACCAGATCAGACACTTCAGAATGCCCTGCATCGCATTCAGTGCCCCACTGATGTTCTTGACTAATTTCGATTTGTTATCCATGGCTCTCTAAAAGCAAGCAGTGTGAAATCACTTAGAAAGTAACGAGAAAGGAAGAGAAAACCATAATTATCGTCAGAAATCGTTAATCGTCGCTATTAAATACTTCTTAGATACTTATTAGTCGCTATTACATTTATTAGAGGCAGATTTCGATAGTTTTTATGATTTTCAATAGTCCAAAAAAGCAAAAATAAACGCGATTTTGGGCCGCAGGCCTGAGGCTACAAAGGACACTATTGACGATCTCCGTCCTCGTTCCGCTCTCGGAACTCACCACTTTTCTTTTTCTCTCGCCTATTTTCTGAAAAAACCAGATGGTTACAGTCGCTTCGCGACTGCAACCATCTGGCCTTCGGGCTACCCTACCTGTCCCACTCCACCACATCCTTTCACGGGCGGGTTTCTAGCCCTCGGACGTAACGAGTCACGAACGCGTCACACCACTTTACACCGCGTAATTGATTGCCCAAACCCAGTTTTTTAGTGACAAATAATCTTGTAAAGGTTATTCTGACGCTAGAAACAAAAAGATAGTTGTAAAGTTGTAAAGAAGCAAGTTGTAAAACAAATTTGGACGTGAAAGGGGCATAATCTTGCGTGTTTCGAGTAGATTGACGGTTTTTCTGGTTCATTGCACGCCAGTACGAATACGAGAGCCTGTTCTAACACGAAGAAGCTTATTCTATAGTCACCCTCACGTTGTTCGCGAGCAATTATCGTTAGCAAACATTGTACAAACAATGTTCGCAATGCAAGAATCTTTTGTGAATTACCCAAATATCACAGTATAACTGATAGCCGTAGGCTAAGACTTAGAAGAGGCTAAATGGGCTGAACTCGAAGGAGCAATGGTAGCGGTAAAAAGCAAATCAGACAAGCGATTTACAATGTCCCTATCATCACCAGTGTTTTGCGCATGCTCGAGCGTCACATCACTAGGTTTCATCCTCATCGTTTAAATGCTCTCGACGAAGCTCGGCTGGTTTTGTAGACGGTCAACAAGCAAAGTGCATGGCGTAACACTTACTTATAATGGCAGGCGGCTCATGATTGAATCAGTATTGGAATAAGGATTCTTACTAGTTTCGTGTGTGGTGAACCAGCAAAATCGCCAATCTGATCGAAACACGCAAGAAGATGCCCCTTTCACCTCAATATCTGTTTTACAACTATCTTTCTTTTGTTTCTAGAGTTAGAATAACCTTTACAAGATTATTTGTCGCAAATAACTGGGTTTGGGCAATCAATTACGCGGTGTAAAGTGGTGTGACGCGTTCGTGACTCGTTACGTCCGAGGGCTAGAAACCCGCCCGTCATCCTTTCCCACCTCCATCAATACCCCCCATAGCCGAAATCCCTTTCAAAAACTACCTAAATACCTTCCTGATGGGTTCAGATACCCCCCCCCCCCATGGCTGAAATCCCCTTCAAAAACTACCTAAATACCTTCCCGATGGCTTCAGATACCCCCCATGGCTGAAACCCCCTTCAAAAACTACCTAAATACCTTCCCGATGGCTTCAGATACCCCCCCATGGCTGAAATCCCCTTCAAAAACAAAAATAACGACCGACCGGATCGAATCAGAGAAAAAAAGAAATGAAATTCCCCGTGAAAATTTTCATCCACGAAACGCGCGCGACCTGGCTCACTATGTCCAAAATCGCCCCAACCTCCGTCCCCCACCCCTTTTACTAAGGAAAAAACTTTCAAAGTTAATTTTAATAATTTAAACTAAAACTTTTTCATAGTTTTTTTATCAGTTTGGGGGTTTCTGACCATGTTCTATCCGAATCCGAAGAGAGCTAAGCTCTACCTCCTTTCCCCTTCGAGTTGAATTCGGCTTCACACGGACGGACAGACAGACAGACGGAGACCACAGCAAAATTATTATAGTTGATTATTATTTAACCTTTTTCAATATTTTAATGCTATTTTAACGCGAAAATTGAAGTTGATATTTTTGTTCCCCGCGCCCCAATTTTCAAAATCTGTAGTTTTGATTTCACTCCGGATCTAATTTTCGAATAGTTTTGCTCTCTAGCCTTTTTCCTGACTTCTTTCTCTGGTTTCTATTAGATTTTTACTAGTTTCTAATGCTAAAACTGAAGCCCGTGACTTTCTTTTAGCTTTCTGCGCCCCCAATTCGAAAAACGGCCGTTTTGATTTCCCTCAGTAACTCAATTTGGTTCTCTTTTCTTCTCTAGCCTCTGTTGTGACTTTGTCTGGTAGTAGAGTTCTATTTTAGTGCTATTTTGACGCTAGTTTAATCCAAAAATTGAAGCTCGTAACCTTATTTCAGCTTGCCGCGCGCCAGTTTTCAAAAACCGTAGATTTTGCTCTATGTTCTCCCCGATTTCCCTCATCTCTGGTTCCCCTTGATGGATGGCGGCATGCAGAGATTTTCAAAATAGACCACGCCCATTTTGTCGTTTAGAGAGAAGAAGAGGAAAGGAAAGAAAGAGGAGAAAAAAAGGAGTTGGGGGGCTGGGCCCTGGTCTGCAGTTGGCTCTCCACACTATCCCCCCGCAACCCCCCCGAACCTCTCTCTCTTCTTTTTTTTTGCCCTCGTCCATCCCATCACCGCTCACTCAACTCCACGGTTTTGCGATGTTCTTTGAATTATCTCTATTTCTTTCTCTAAATTTTTGTAACTTTCATATTCAGCATGTCGGACGCACGCGTCAAGTTTAATCTAGGCACTAATCAAGAGGATACTGAAGAAGAGGTAATTTTTTAAGAATTTCGAGTTTTCTGGAAATTTCCTGGTGTTTAGAACGTTAAAAGGCCGTCCGCGACTCACCCGAACAGGCCCCCTTATGACTTGGCACAGTTTTTTTCGACCCCGTTTTTTTGACGGCATCGGATAGAGCATGGTCAAATTAGTAGGGCTGCATAGTTTTGAAATTTTCAAAAGTTTAATTTTGGGGTTTAAATGAACGTTAAAGTTGCCGACCTCAGAAAACTATCTCGAAAAATACCCAACAAAATTTGCTAAAAATTTGTGACAATACTAATTTTGGGGTGGGGATCATTTCTCTAATACATTGTGAAGCATGAAAATGACCGGAACGTGATTAAATCAAATACTAAAAACAGTTTTTCGACATTTTCGACATTTTAGAGAAACCGGCGCATATTAGCTATGTGGGTAGGGGTCGGAATATCGAAATTTCGGAATCTCGAAATTTCGGAATCTCGAAGTTTCGGAATCTCGAAATTTCCGAATCTCGAAATTTCTGAATCTCGAAATTTCGGAATCTCGAAATTCCGGAAATATTAGCAGATTCCTGGAAGCAAAACTATTATGTATCCAAATTTTTCAGATACAAATACAAGATTTCCGATAAAACGAAAAGTAGACCCCCTCTAACTCGACGGAGAAGCGTCGGATCGGGATGATAGTTCGAAATACGATCCGAAAGCCCTTGAAACGACGAGTTGATAAACACCTTTTTTAGAGGGTCTACTTTTCGTTTACTTGAAATTATACTTTTTAAGAGCTTGTATATGCTGTAAACGCGAAATTCCATAGCCAAAATAAATTTTACTAGCCAAAATACCCAAAAAAAATCGTGTTTTATAGTGACAATCTCTGTTTCAGATCTTCCTTCCTCCCGCTCCACTCCTTGCCGGTGCTCACGTCGGTGGATTGCCGAGCTATCGTGATCTCTACTCGGATTCCATCAACAATTCCGATGCCTTTTGGTCCAAGATTGCCAGTGAATTGCATTTTGAGAGCAAGGGAGAGAAAGGTGAGGATGGGGGAAAGCCTAGAATACTCGATTCGTTTTAACAAAGCCGGAAATTAGCCATGCGCCCCCGTTTTTACTTATTTATCGGGGGTTGGAAAGTTTGCTACCTTTTGTTGGGTTAGAAAGAAGTTCAGAAATTTAGAAAATTTACAAACCAAGGATAACGATATCTAATCTAAATAATTTTTTGTTTTCAGGGATCGAGTCTAACTTTGACTATCGCAAGGGCCCCGTCTACACCCATTTTATGGCCGGCTCCAAGACCAATATTGCCTACAACTGCTTGGAAAGGAATATTCAGCGCGGGTTAGCTTGTTTTTAAAAGTTTTATGTCTTCTTTAGGTATGGAGATCGAATTGCCTATCTGTGGGAGGGTAACGAGCCCTGTGACAGCTCCACCATCACCTATTCCGAGCTGCACAAACAGGTAAGAACTTTAAAACTACGGTTTAAAGTGAATTTTAGGTTGTCAATTTCTCGGCTGTCCTGCGCGGGAATGGTGTGAAGAAGGGAGATGTCGTTGCTATTTACCTGCCTATGATTACCGAACTGGCGGTCGCGATGTTGGCGTGTGCTCGAATTGGGGCCCTCCACAGCGTCGTTTTTGCCGGATTTTCCGCCGAATCGCTGTCGACGCGTGTTGTGGACGCCAAGTACATCTAAAACAAATCAATTTTTAAACGTCTTTTAGGTGCAAGGTGATTGTGACGGCTGACGGGTTCTTCCGCGGACCAAAGTCCGTTATTCTGAAGCCGATCGTTGACAAGGCTGTGGCCATTTCTAAGGTATGGATAAAGATCTCGACTTTAAAAGCTTTTTTGGCTCTTTTAGACTCATGGTGTCGATGTGGAAACGACGATTGTTGTTCAACATCTGGACCGCGCTACCGCCCCGGGTGGCCAAGCTGTTCCCAAGGTTTTTAAACTATTTAAAACATAATTTTTGATTTTTAGGTGACCTGTGACAAGCCCATCGATCGTCTCTACGAAAAGGAGATGGCCAAGTACAAGGGCGAGGAGTCCCCGGTCGAATGGGTCGATGCCGAGGATCCGCTTTTTATTCTCTATACAAGGTTTGTTTGAAAAGTAGCTGCACTCTCTCTCTCGCGCTCTCTTCGTTTTTTGGATAATCGTTGGCGCCCGTGGGAGATTTTCGGCTACACAAATTCCCCAGTGTGTCATCGATCCATGTGTGGGGAAGCGTTGGAAAGCGAGCAAATTTTGGGCGTGAAAATTGAGAAAAAAAAGAGCAAAAACCAAACCGAATAAAATTAATTTTCGTTTTTTTTAGTGGCTGAATTTGAAAAACAGCAGAAAATCGAAATCATATTAATGTTCATTTTTAGTGGCTCAACCGGAAAGCCGAAGGGCATCCTCCACACCACCGCCGGATACATGACCTACGCATACGCTACCACAAAGTTCAACTTTGACTTGCACCCCGAGCGTCCGGATGATATTTATTGGTTCGACAATTTGTTATAGCTTTGAAATTTACGTTTTTAGGTGTACGGCGGACTGTGGTTGGATCACTGGCCATTCGTATCTTCTCTACGGCCCTCTGATAAATGGTGTCACATCGGTGTTCTTTGAGGGCGTCCCATCTTACCCGGATCCCAGCCGTCTCTGGCAGGTCACCGAGAAGTATAAGGTATAAGGTTTTCTATTTTAAAAGGAACTAGAAACTCTATAATCCACCCAATTTTCTAGTTCAGACTAAACATAGCCTGATCTTTCTGAGGGGCTAGTTCTAATTCGTCTTCTTCTTTCTTTCTGGGGGTCTCCTGCCTTCCTTTTGGAACGCCCTCGCTCGCCTCTTGCCCACCCATCTTCGCCCGAGATTCCCCCAGATTTCCGATATAAAGATAAGAAAGAGAGACAAAGAGAGGAAGAAGAGGGGCCGAAGGTCACTAGAAACACCTCACTTGGGCTATTCGAGAGAGGGAGAGAAGAGAAATGGCAATTGACCATACCTAGGGAGTGGAATGAAACATTTTGGGGTTGAAAAATTGTTTTCACTTCAAATTCTTTCGAATATTTTTTAAGCGTATCGGTCGGTCTAGACGAAGCGGTTTTAGATTTAAAAACTGGTCCTATATTTTATAGCTTTCTAGATGCCCGTTTGAAGGTCGTAAAAGAAGAAGCTCCCTGAAAATCGGGATTGTCTCCCTTAAAAACCCACCGGCGCGACGCGAAAATTGAATTTTCGGCGTTTGGGAAAAGCTTGCATTTTCCGGGTTTTCCAGAAAAACGCAGAAAAGTAGCGTCTAAAAAAGGAACTAACCCTGAAGTTAAAGTAAACAAATTTCGAAAGTGGAAACAAATACAATTGAAAAACCGAATGAATGAAGAGTATCAAATTTTTTCAGGTTGGCAAGCTCTACACATCTCCGACGGCGATCCGCGCTCTGATGGCCTGTGGCGATCAATATGTCACCAAGCACGATCGCTCGGTAATTTTTCTCCTTTTAAAGCTATTCTATTTCTTTTTTAGTCGCTGAAAATCCTGGGCACCGTCGGCGAGCCGATCAACCCGGCAGCGTGGCGATGGCTTCACAAGATTGTTGGCGAGACGCGCTGCTCGGTTGTGGATACCTACTGGCAAACTGAGACGGTAAGCTGATGCTCCTCTGTTTTGAGACTATTTTTTAGGGTGGCCATATGATTGCCCCACTCCCCGGCGCTGTCCCGCAAAAGCCCGGCTCGGCCACGCTACCCTTCTTCGGCGTGGAGCCCGTGCTCCTCGACGCTGAGGGCCGCCTGATTGAGGTAATTTGAAAGCTCTTGCTCCTTTTTATGCCAATTTTTGATTTAGGGCCCTGGTGAGGGAAATCTGTGCTTTGCGAGGGCATGGCCTGGAATGATGCGCGGGGTTTATGGCGATTATGATAGGTAAAAGATGGTTTTATTTTTTAGAAATTGGTTTAGGTTCATTTCTACTTATCTGAAGCCATTCCCTGGGTATTATTTCACCGGAGATGGTGCTCGTCGTGATGAGGATGGATATTTGTGGATCACTGGACGGTAAATTTTGATTTGCTAATAAATTTTAAGTTTCTAAACGAAATTTTTCTTTTTACGATAAAAATCCACTTTAGACGTTTTGTAAAATCATTTTTTTACAGTGTTGACGATCTGATGAACGTCAGCGGCCATTTGCTGAGCACTGCTGAGATTGAGGGAGCTCTCACTCAACATCCCAAGGTTTGTATTGTTTTTTAACTTTTTAAAACCTTATTGTTTAGGTAGCGGAAGCGGCGGTCGTCTCTGCCCCCCATGACATCAAGGGCAACTACCCGTACGCCTTCGTGACGTTGAACAACGGCGAGCGCCTGACCAAGGAGCTGGTCGTCGAGCTCAAGCAGATTGTAAATTTTGTTTTACGGATTTTTATTGGTTTAATTTAGGTCCGTGAGAAGATCGGCGCCATCGCCCAGCCGGACATTATTCAGGAGGCCCCTGGACTGCCGAAGACACGCTCTGGAAAGGTATGGAGAATTTATTGAGGTTTTGACATGATGTTTTGAAAATAGATTTTTACAAAAATTCTTTTTAAAGCTTGAAATTTTTAGAAATGTAATTTTTTGGAAAACTGAATGCTCGTTCTCGAAAGAGATAGAAGTATTAATTAGGGTTTAAATTGTGTTTTTGAAGGAAAATTGGCTAGATACGATTTTTTTTGGAAATTAGATTTTTTAAAATTAAATTTTTATAAAATTGTGACGTTTTCCAATTTTAATTTTTACTTTTTTAGGTAACGCGCCGTATTCTCCGGAAGATTGCCGAGGGATGTGAGAGCGGATTGGGCGACACGACGACCCTTGTTGATGAGACCGTCATCCAACAACTCATCAACGGTCGTGACAATCAGGCATAATTCCACAAGCTACAATCTTTACAATTATACTCTCCCCCATTTAAAAATTAGTCAGGTCACTCGTTTCTGGTACTAATGCACTTAAAGGGGGGAAGGGGCTGTCCGGAATTTGACTACAAGTCCCATCAAACGCCGCTTTTTAAAACTCTGCCTCTGGACAAGATCAATTTCGGACTGCCCTCACCCCCCCTTAACTGCATTAGTACCACCTCATTTCCTTAAATGCACGCACACCAACTCGATTTGTCTCATCTTAAACCCCCCTCCCAAATACCCTTTTTATGTACAAATTTTAGGCACCCCTTGTGAAAAGAAAGAAATACCCCGATCTACCCCCATTCCAAGCCTATGTACCATTCACTCGGTGTTGTATACCCCCCGACTGAATTATTTTAATGAATTCCTCTTTCTTATTACAGCATCCCGAGCTCCTTTTTTACAAACACTATCCTGGGTTTTAGTGCTATAAATTGTTTTTGGAGCAGCTTACAGGCTAACGAGTGAGAAATTGCGTTCTTCGTGTCCACAGACAGCACTAACCATGCCATCTACGAGAGAATTCTTGATTTCTTGTCGCATTTTGAGTGCTCGTTGACTTTAAAAAGTGATCTGTGGGAAACGCGCGATTTTTTCAGGAGTGGAGGAATTTGTTGTTATGGAAAAGGGGTTTCCTGAAGATTGAATATCCCGTAACGTGAAAAACCCGCTTTTATTTCGTGAAATTAGGCGTTTTCATAGGTATTTTTACGTTATTTTCTAGGGTTTTTTTTGAGATGTTAGACAAATGGATTTACGCGAATTTAATTGAAAATGGCTCCGAGCGCCAAAAAGCCCGGTTTCATAGGAATTTTGAACGGAAGAGAAAGCTTGTAATTTATGAGATTTAGAAATAAGGGGTTTATGCGAAAATTCATTAATAATGATTTTTAATTGAATGAAGAGAACCCGGGTTGTCGACAGAAGCCCGCACGCAAAAGCCCGAAGACAGAAGCCTGCACACAAAAGCCCGCAACGACAAAAGCCCGAAACGACCAAAGGCCGCAGCGATAAAAGCCCGCAACGACAAATGCCCGCCATACATTTTCGCCGTTTGGTGTGGAGACTAGGGCCCGGATGATCGTTGTTGTATTTTGTCGTTTGAATTGCTCGTTGGCGAATATTTGATCGGACCCTCTACTTCTCCGTCATTCTTTTTTAGATACCCCGCTGTGACGGAGAATCGACAAGAGGAAGGACAAGCCGCGGCGATAGCTATCCGCTTTCTTTTAGTGAAAAAGCTAGCTAAAAACCCATCAATCTTAGTTATCCTCTCTCATTCCTATAAGTCTTCATGTTTTTCGCGTTCGTTTTCCTTTCCGTTCCATGTGCGTTTTCTGGCAAATTCTTCGTCAATTCCTTTATTTCAGGTAAGACAACGGCAAGAAGATGGAAAAGACCCAATTCGAGAAGGAGCTACTCGCTCTACAGGACGATGGAATGACGGATATTGACATCGTCGAGGAGGGCAACAAGAAAGGAGATCCGGAGGATGATGATGTAGAGAAGGAAGTCTACAAATCATCGCTCAACATCTACGATCTTCCACTGGAGATGTTGTGGGAGATGCTGCAGCCGCTGGCCGCTAAAGACCTGCTCGCGATTGCACGTGTTCATCAGAAACTCCTCTACGCCACCAAACATCTGAAGGACAAAAGCTTTGACGAACTCGACTGCGTCGTCTCCATTGAAGATCGTCCTCTTCGCGAGGCTCAAACGCCGGAAGCACTGGAGATTCTTCTACACGGGGCGCACGTCGAGCTACTGCAATTCGACTCGGCTGCCCGTCCATTCGACGTTCAGGGGCTCTGTTTGTCGGAGCTCGTATTTTTCGGTCAACGGCAAGAAGATAAGGCGGCAATTGTCATCGAAAAGCTCAAACCTCAAGCGGTTGATCTCCAGAACTACTATGGCAGTTACAGGATGACCCCGAGGTTGTGCCAGGCTCTCTCCATCATTCCTCGTCTTTACATTGGCAGAGTTGGAATAGGGCTTCTTGATATCCTGTCCAAATGGAAAGGCGGATACTTGACCTGTATCCTGGATATCTCATCTAATTATAAGATATCGTATCGCTTCTTCGATGTTATCAGACAACTTCTCGAATGACGGACGGAAATGCCAGTCCCATTTCAACTACACATCCAATTCGAACCCCCGTTGCACCCTCGTCAGCTTCATCGAGACGTTCTTGGACCGGATTATCCATTGGACCGCGATGGTCTCGATTTGGTCTGGGACCGCTATAATCCTTACATCTCTATCGCGATCCGCCTTTCCTCGGTGATCTGCCGCCGTGCCTAATTTATTTCGGCTTTTTGCTCCCAATTTCATTCTTCTTTTAAACTATCCTGTGTTTGGTGCTATAAATTGTTTTTGGAGCAGCTTACAGGCTAACCAGTGAGAAATTGCGTTCTTCGTGTTCACAGACAGACAGCTTATCTATTGCTTTACCGAGTGTCCACTAACCATGCCATTTCCGAGAGAATTCTTGATTTCTTATCGCATTTTGAGTGCTCGTTGACTTTGAAAAGTGATCTGTGGGAAACGCGTGATTTGAGATTTTTGAGAAAATTTGGGATCCGTTAGCCTGAAAAAGCCGATTTTCTAGGAGCTTTGAACTGGTGATAAAAGAATTTATGCGAAGTTGAGTTCAATCGGCTTCTCGCGCTAAAGCACTGATTTCATAAGAATTTTGATGTGAGGAAAGCATGATTTTTTAGGTTTTGGAAAAGCGATCTACTTGAAAATTCGCCCACTCTTTAGGCTGCTTCATCTAGAAATCCGATTTCATACGAATTGTGAAGTGAAGAAAGAAAGCTTGGTTTTTTGGGAATTTTTTAGGTTTCAGAAAAGGGGTTTTGCCACGGTTGGATACCCCGTAACCTGAAAAGAGAATGTGATGAGAAGTCAGACGTAAGGAGAAAATTTCTGGGTTTTTTTAGGTTTAGGGAATGCGACGCCTGGTTTTTTGAGATCAAAATTCGGTTTCCCTAGCACCTCTAAACGGGGATTTCTTAAACATTTTCGAGTGAACAGCTGTAAATAATCCCTCACCCTATCCAACTGGCTTCCGAACAATTGCTAGGGGCTTTTCGCAATCCACCACTCTGTCCCTCTCTTTCTCTATCCATCCACTCACAGGTCAATTACACCGCATTAGCACCATCTCTGTGGATCTGAGTGGACGACAAAAATCTGCTCTTCTCTCTCTCTCTCTCTCTCTCTCTCTCTCTCTCTCGGACTCTAGCTTTTCCTCAATTCGTACGTTCTGTTTGTAATTTGCCTGCAGCTGTTAGCCGCCCTGCACCCATTCAGTGACCCGTAAATCAGCAGCTCCAACTGATCGTCCGCTTCTCCTCCTCCTTTCAACCCCTCGTAATCACCATTTTCCCCTCGGCCGTTCGGCCAGCGAAAAACTGGAGATTTTTGGTACAAGAATTTTTTGGAGATTTCAAAATGCAATCCCCCGGCTAATTTTTAACGTTTAATTGTTTTGTTGGTATTTTCTCGCCACCATTTAGCATTATTGGTGAGCAATCTGTGTAAAACTGGAGGAATTTTGGTCCTTGAAAGTTTTTTTTTAATTGTTTAGATTCCGCTACCTTCTCGGTGACCCTGCCAAAATTCGGCGAGCCGGTTAATTTGGCTTTTAAGCTTTTTGTTGGGATTTTCCACCCGGCCCTTCAACTTACTGCTAAGCATTTTACGAAAATCTCGAGGCTTTTGGGCTTTAGAATTTTTTCAAAATTTTTTAATTCAGCGACCATGTCAGCGGGCTTCCTAAAAGTAAGTCCCCTACCATTTCTATGCGTTTGATCATTGTGTCGATATTTTTCCTCAGCCATTCTGCATACTGCTAAGCATTCTACCAAAACCTAGAGGCTTTTCCACCCTAGAAGTTTTTTAGATTTTTTGCATTTAGAAGCACGAAATCAGCAATTTTGAAATTGGAGTAACCCTGCCACTTCTTTGCTTTTAGTAACTATTTTCTCTAGGTGTTCTGAACAGTACTAAGCATTATACGAAGAACCGGAGCTTTTTTGTTTTTAGAAACTTTTTTAGCGTCTCTAAATTCAGTGATCGTTTTTACTAACCAGCCGAAAAATTTAGTGACCCTCCAGTTTTTCTTCATTTTCAAGTGAGTGCAAGCCGTCTACCTCGTAGTTGTATGTGATCTGACACCCATATCGTCCATTACTCGTCGTCTATACCTGCTGCCAGTCTCTCTTGCTCATTTTCTTTGATCTAACCGAAACCTTTGATCCTTGTCTTCTTCCCAGACCCTGTCATTCGATCTCTCACTCTCGCTCTCTCTCTCTCTCTCTCTCTCTCTCTCTCTCTCTCTTTCTCTCTCCTCGCTATTGTCATCCACCAATTGTTCAACGATGAGCTGGCAAAGCAAAAGCCAATTTTTTTTGCACAAATTGGAAAGCATTTTCAGGGAACTCGTCATTTACGCTCACCCACGTTTTTTTTAGGATTTTCTAAAGCGAGGGACTAGAACTATTGTAGCTATCGGGTTGGCCTTTTGGTTAGATTTTTGTAAAGTGATGCCCGTAGAGCGTTTCTAGAGCTTTTCTCAACTTTTTAATCGCTATTTTGTGGGTTAGATTTGAGTGACCTTTTTTTGCAACAGATTTTATTTTTGGCAAACTCGCTGCTATTAGGTAGATTTTCGAGCTTTTGGCTCGTATGCAAGTCAGATTACGCCAACTTCTTTATTTAGCTTTATTTGTAAGTCGCACTCGGATTTTGATTTGGTGCTTAAGTGAACTACTGTAACTCTAGATTCTCGAGATACTAATGCAGATTCTCGATATACTTCATCCATTTTTATTAATTACCAGAAATAGCCGAAAAGGCGTTGATTTGTGAATGGATATTTGGAAGGATGGGATGGATGGTGAATGTGATATCTAATAGCCATTACCCCCCTTTCATCTCTAACTGAAGAGAGAGAGAGAGAGAGAGAGAGAGAGAGAGAGAGAAGAGTCGTTCCTCCCCTTCCTCTATCCTCCTCGCGCCTTTTTACACTCAGAAAGGGGCGGGGTTTAGGAAGGAGGATAGGGTGTAGAAGGAATGGAAAGAGCAAAGAAAAGGAAAGACTGGAAAGAAAGCACTGACGGTCAAGGAAAGGAAGCCCTGCTCTGTTTCGCTAGCTCCCTCTCTCTTCACGATGACCGATCGGTCCTCCATCCTGAGCAGCAGCAACCCGCTCTCTATCTCTCTCTCTCTCTCTTGCTATGTCTATCTTTATATTATCTCTCGTCCCTTGTCTATCTGTCCATCATTTTCTCTGCTCCAATCGACTCTCGCCCTCCCCGCCCAGTTCAAACCACCCCGAACCCTTTCCGGCCCCTCTTTCATCTGGCACCAATGCAACCATTGGAATGTTCGGCTTGTTGTCTTGTTTTTTAGCTTCTACCAGCTTCCAATTTTGTTATTTTCTAGGCTGAAATCTAAGGAGCTTTCCTAGAAAGTTCTAAATTTTTTCGTTACTTATTTCAAAATTTTTATCCAGTTACCCTCTTTTGTAACTTGATCTTCGGTGACCTTTTCCTAGATTTTAGATGTTTTATAGATTTCTAAGTTTCAGCTACAATTCGATCCAGTTTGGGCTACTACTCGCTTTATTTGTCAATGCGGCAACATACAAACTGTGCATTTTATTTGCCCAGGTTGCGTGTTGTCCTCCCCTCTCTCTCTTTGCCCCGGTAAACGAAGCGAGGAGGGAAGCGATTGGGTAGTAATTGCCCCCCTTCAAAATCCCTCGATTGACAGCCACTGTTTTTCACCCACCTTTCTGGCAGCCATTTCCGCTTTTTGTAAGCTAATTACAGGCTTATCTTTATTATTCTTTTGTCAGTTGATCTAAACGCCGTGACCCTCATTTTTGGATTCTTTTGGACGTGGAAATCGAGCTGATATTTGCTCAAGCGAAAGGATCGAGTTTGGCAGTGGGTAAATTGACAGCCAGATTGCCTTCTTTTGCCTTTAGATCCCTAGAATATTGCTATTGCTTAGTTCTAAATTGATATTTGTATATTCTGCCTAGTGTCCCGCCCTCCGGAAGTATACGATTGGGTTTTACAGCTTTAGTTCTCTCTTCAGTTTCCGATCGAGCACCGGCTATCCCCCCACTGCCCCCCCCCTCACCCACCAGATGTTCTTCACAAAAAACGCGCAAAAAGTATTGGGTGGGGGTTTGGGTGTGACTTTAGGCTGATTCTCTGTCTGACAATATAGTGGCTGACTTCCGGTGGAATTGAAAAATTATGTTTTTCAAATAAGTACGTTCAAAAGCCACTGAAATAAATCAGTGACCCTCAAAATTCACTGAAATAAATCAGTTACCCATGGAGATCACTGAAATTTTCAGTGGCCTTCCTCAAATTCGCGGAAAATTAATCCTGAGTCATCCCGTTTATCGCTCCCCCCCCTACCAACTGCCAGTTTTCGGGCCCCCTGAAAAAATTTTATATGGCCATCCGGGCAATATAGAGAACCAGCCGGACTCCAAAACGAACGCTTCCCAGCCAGCTTCCAATTTCGCGCTCAACAAAATTAAATTCAGCCCCGGCGACGGCCATTTTGAGCCGGAGTTTGGACACGAGTTTTGTTTCTTCTTTCTTTTTGGAGTAAGAAAAATCCGTTAGGGGCTGTACTTACAAAGAAGAACACAGCTGTCATCCAACCCATTCCCCCCTTCAAGATCCAAACCAATCCATCCCTCCCTCGTTCCTTCCAATCCATTTCCTAATGGCTCGATTCCCGGCGGCTTGTCCACACCCAGCGAGGATCGGCTAATTGTGAAACGAACGGGGTCACTCTTGAACAGTGGATATTATATTTAGTCTCGAGTTTTTTAGCTGCTGCTCCGTTGTGAAACTTGAGGGTCACTGATTTTCAAAGCTATTTCAAATTTCAAAAACTGATTTTTTTTCGTGGGATTCGGGCGTTTGGGTTTGTAATTTTGTTGTTTTAGTTTCATCTTTTGACACTTTGCTATTATAGTGAGCATCAAATTTTTTATATTGATTTATTAGTGCAAAATCCGAGGGCCACTGATTTTTAAAACAGTTACCTCTTTGTTTCAGTGGTCTCACCGCTTTAGTATCTCGATTTTCTGGGATTTATTTTATAAAATTGTCTGCCTCAAGCCAGTTTACAATTATTTCGAAACTTAATCTTTTTGTCGTTGTTTTCTATTGAAACATCCGAGGGTCACTGCATTTTTAGATCAGGTTTCAGGGTCGTAGGGTAGGACTTTTCGGTTTTCCGTCCACTTAGTTAACGATTTGTATTTTACAATTTCCTACTGTCTTCTACGCTGTATTCTGGACTCCATTTCACCATTTCTGACTCTCAGAATCCCCCGGTATCGTCTAGCCCTGGAGCCGCCAGCGGTCTCGTCGCAACAATGCGGGGCGCTTTCGGGTCGGAACTGCTTGAGAGGCAGTACCAGCAATGGAGGGCACGCGCGGCCATAGGTTTGTGAAACAATTAACAAAATCAAAAAGCTTATTTAGATCAATGAATTTAATAAAACTGCTTATGAAAAAAAACAACTTTTAGGCCCTACCAAAGCTCTCCTGGTGGGAGTAGCAGTGGGTGGTGCATGTAGTGCAATGGTGCACGCGCCAAGTACATCCGCTCTATCCGGTGCTGCCGTATGTCTACTGGCAACGATTCTGCACGTCCGTGCGTCATTTCGACGCAAAAAAGGCCCAGGAATATCACTACCACTCGCCACTTTGGCACTCTTGGGTATAGCCGCTTTTTTGACGTTGCCAGGTAGGCCTAAAAACTATAAAAAAATATCAAAATTTTAGGACTAAACGCAATATTCCCCAGCATAGTCGCAATATTTTCAACATATTCTCTATTGGCGCTACCCTTTTTGATAGCAATGCCATTTGCGGGCACAATTTCGCTGGTCTACGTCTCGGCTTTTGCCCTTTTTGTCGAGCCACTGAAGACAATGGAGGTGCGTTTTCTTGATTTATTTATTAAACTGACGTGTATTCTAATCTTTGAACTCTATAGAATAATTGTTTAATTACTATTCCTACTGTTTTCGAGAGTTTCTACTCTGAATTGTGCTCCAGGCATGGTGATTCCATCAGAATCATATCGACAGTCCCTTTCCCCTTCTTTTCTGACTTCTAATCCTTGTTTTCCTTTTGTTTTCATACAAACCATCGTTCTCCTCATCCGACCTCTCTCTTTTTTTTTGACAGATTTTGGAGGTAGTAGGAAGAGGGGGGAGACCAACTGTTTGTTCAGTCAACCATAGGGGCAAGGGGAATGGCCATTGCTATGAAACAGGACCCCGTTTGGGAGAAAAAAGAATATTTGAGCGTTCGGTCTGGATGGTTATTGATAAGTTAGAAAGTTAAATCGATAATTGTATTGAAAATGAATGGAACTTTTGTGTTTTTTTTCGTTTTTTAGCTTCTATTTTCAAAGCTTATTGGTGAAGTTAGCCTGGAAAATGGATCATTTCGTTGGAAATGTGGTTTTGAAATCAGTTACCTTTCTAAAAATCGGAAAATCTCGATTCTAGATATTTTGTAAAGGGTCTTTCTCAACAATTTAGCAATTCCCACCTTTCCCAGATTTTTGTGCTCAATTGGCCAATGGCGGACACCCCGAACACGTTGCAATAGTTCGTTCCGTGGCCTCTCTCTCTCTCTCTCGCTTTCTCTCCACTCGATTGGCCACTTTACAAAGTGGTGCGAATTGGCCCCTTCCCTCTGTCTGTCTGTCTGTCTCTCTTTCTCTCTCTCTCTTTCTCTCTCTCTCTCTCTCTCTCTCCCTCTCTCTCTCCCCTCTCTTATCCCAATCTCCGGTTCTAATCTATGCAATCTCAGCATGCCGCGAATTCCGAGTTCCACCAGGGGATTTAAAAGGAAAGAAAGAATAGAAGGAGTAAAGAAAGAGAAAAGGTCCCTCTGGATGGCATTTGGAGGAATAGCTAACCCCTTGGGGCCACCACATACCCCCTCTCTTTTCTTTTTCTCTCATACGCCCTCAACAGAAGGAAAATGGAAATTGGGCTTCAAATGAGGGAAAATCTGGGTACGGCTCGATGGTACCTTTAAGCTGGAGAGAAAGGCTTGATACTAGACCACAATAACAGCTAGATACTCCGTTTTAATCCAATGACCTCGACTTTGTAGCTTTGAGACTAAAACTTTCGACTCTGGGCTTAAATTTTCTTCTAAACTGGATAGAAATTAAAGTATCGTTGGAAACTTGGATCTAGCTTTAAACGGGGGTCCTCAATCTTGTCATTTTTGTGTTTTGAACATCGTAAAACGCATGGAAAATGTCTAAAACGCTTTCATTATTCAGTTTTTCCAGGATTTAGACTTAAAAGGTTTTTGTCAGGTCGCTGCAAATAACCTCAAAAGATGCGCGAAACAATTCTGCATCGAATAGAGTGTTTTGTACTCTTGATACAACGCTATTTATGGGTAAAAAAGCGGAAAAACCGAACTGCTCGCTCCGCGCCCCCGAAACGCACGCAACCTGGTCCACCCCAATAACATAACCGTCGACCCTCCGGGGGGCCAGCAGTGTCACTGGGTGTCATACCTCAATAAACTCTGAACTGGGAGGGGGGGCCATGACGAAAATTTTTGTAATAAAATAGCGGAAATGTTTCTCAAATGTTTGCACAATATTCTTTAAGCGTTAATATTTTTCAAGTTTTAGTTAAAAATTCTAAAAATATCGGGTTGTTGACCAAAATTGCGCGTAAAAAATTCTTTCGAAGGTTTTTTATAGTTTCATGCTCCGATTTTCTTTCTAATTTTTAAACTGGAATACAAACTACAAATTTAAATATTGATATTAAAAATTAAAGTAGATCTTAGGTGTGTCTCTTATCCCAATCTCCGGTTCCAATCTATGCAATCTCAGCATGCCACGAATTCCGAGTTCCGCCAGGGGATTTAGAAGGAAAGAAAGAATAGAAGGAGTAAAAGAAAGAGAAAAGGTCCCTCTGGATGGCATTTGGAGGAATGGCTAACCCCTTGGGGCCACCACATACCCCCTCTCTTTTCTTTTGGGGAATATGACCCGCCGGCCCAGTATGGGTATTGATAGAGGGGAGAAGGAGCTTCTCCTTGCTTTACCCCCTAGTTTCATGCTGTGTCTAAAGACTTTTCGACTGACAGATTAAGGATGGCTGGGTTCACATGTGGAAATGGAAGGAAAGGGGGAAGAGGGAGGGACGAAAATCACATAAAAAAGATGGGGGATGGGAATTGGAGGGTGATACGTTCCGGTTCGAGGGTCGAGTTTAAAGCGGGATTCGAGCTGGGAGGTAGCTTGGATAGGTGTATTTTGTAGCTTGGGATACAGTTTGTAGTTTGTAGTTTCAAATTTAGTGTATGCGTCAAACTTGAACATCGCCTCCTGAAACTTTGACCACTTCAGTGACATTTTTCCGAAAAGAAGCTGCCGGCTAATGTCAATAGGTGTATTTTGTAGTTTGCGATATAGTTTTCTGCTTTCTGGACGCTATTAGTGTCTATTTCCTCAGGTTTGAGCTTCACTTCCGGTCACTTTAGGATTCAGTTACTTTTTGTCCAAAATACAGGCTTTTAGCTGGTAATTAGGTGTAGTTTGTAGTCTGCAAGACAATTTGCACTTTATGATAGCCATTAGTGCATATTTCGTATTTTAACCCAACTCCCCACCATTTTCACATTCAGCTGACGCTCCACCCAAACCCCCATAAACCCCCTTGAAAAATGCGGGGTCAGTTTTTAGCCGCCCGCTGTCAAACAACCCGCCTTTTACGATGCTTCCGCTCCCAACAAAAACCCGAATCTCGAAAAAAAACACCCTCCGAAATGCCAAACTGACAACCCGGACACACAATGGGGTGTTAATTGCACCGCCTGGGGTGCACACACGAATTCAGTTATCCCAACGAGGGGGGAGGAGACCGGGGGATTGGCGCAAATTGCCAACTGGTGCTTTTTGGCGTGGGGAGGGGGGCAGGAGAAGCTTCTGTCTGTCTGCCTGTCTCTCTCCTCTCTCTCGCGACGCCATGTGCTATGCAAATTGGGCACGCCACACGGTGAATAGGCAGGCACAGGATAGAGGATGCACACTTTGGAAGGAATGGGCAATTATTGGGTGAAGCTGCGGGCTGGGGAGTTTGAACTGGCTACCATCGAGGACGAGGTGTGCAAAATTGGGGGGATTGGCGGGCGTTTTAGGGATTTTTGGGGAAAAGGTAGCCGAATTTGGGAAAGTTGCCTGATTTCGTTCTTGGTTATCATTAATGCTAGGGGTATACTTCTTAGCTCTAAAATTATATTGCAAGTCAGTAAAACTGGAAATGTAACTGAATTGTGCTTTCCAGACCATTAATGTGCGAATTTTAACAAATCTATCTTGCCGCCCAGTAGCTGATTTTTGCCAAAAAGATAACTGAATTCCACTACCTTACCATTAATGAACCGACTATAGTTGCTCGTTCTACCCCTCCCTTGTAAGCCAGCAGAAGCCCTGTAAAATTTGGGCTCCAACTCCCCCTCCTGCTCCTTACTAGTCCGACTTTTCCTCCCCACAACCGGTATATTCATACTGTCCACCCCTCTACCCATCAAAAGCGCCTACCATGACTGTACTACCCCTTTTTCTATACTCACCACTTCTTTTCTACAAGAATACACCCCACTGGCTGACATGCAAATGTGGAAAGAAGTGGAGAGGAGAAGGAGAGCATGAAAGGTGGGGGATGCAGATGGAAAGGAGTGTCTCGTTATGTGTCAAAAGGCGTGACGCGACAACAAATAAATGCTCCTTCTCTCTCTCTCTCTCTCTCTCTCTCTCTCTCTATTTTGAGAAGACCCCTGAGGGCACCATTCAATTCACCGACACGACCGCCAGCCCCCCACTACCCAAATACCCCTGAAAACAGAAGGAAAATGGAAATTGGGAATCAAAATAAGGGAAAATCTGGGAACGGCTTGATGGTACCTTTAAGCTGCAGCGAAAAGCTTGATACTAGACCACAATAACACCTAGATACTCCGTTTTAATCCAATGACCTCGACTTTGTAGCTTTGAGACTAAAACTTTCGACTCTGGGCTTAAATTTTCTTCTAAACTGGATAGAAATTAAAGTATCGTTGGAAACTTGGATCTAGCTTTAAACGGGGGTCCTCAATCTTGTCATTTTTGTGTTTTGAACATCGTAAAACGCATGGAAAATGTCTAAAACGCTTTCATTATTCAGTTTTTCGAGGATTTAGACCTGAAAGGTTTTTGTCAGATTGCTGAAAATAACCTCAAAAGATGCGCGAAACAATTCTGCATCGAATGGAGTGTTTTGTACTCTTGATACAACGCTATTTATGGGCAAAAAAGCGGGAAAACCGAACTGCTCGCTCCGCGCCCCCGAAACGCACGCAACCTGGTCCACCCCAATAACATAACCGTGGACCCTCCGGGGGGCCAGCAGTTTATTGACGCTTTTGGCTCAACTCAATAAACTCTGAACTGGGAGGGGGGTTATGACGAAAATTTTTGTAATAAAATAGCGGAAATGTTTCTAAAGTGTTTTTACAACATTCTTTAAGCACAGACACTTTACAAATTCTGGCTAAAGATGCAAAAATATCGGGTTGTTGACCAAAATCGCGCGTAAAAAAGTCTTTCGAAGGGTTTATATAGTTTCATGCTCCGATTTTCTTTCTATTTTTTAAACTGGAATACAAGCTACAAATTTAAATATTGAGATTAAAAATTAAAGTATAATTTTTCAGTTACTGGCCATCATCCTAACCCACGTTTGGTGCCATTTCATCGGTATCTACATCCATATTGGAAAGGATAGAATTGCTAGAAGTAGTTTACCAATTTATATACCGTAATCTAATCGATTTTAGATACCTTTCTGTCCGGTAGAAATGCTGTTGAAGCGGAAAACTCGGCCGAGGAGCACAGCCAAAAATTGGTAGGGTGTACCTTAAAAACGAGACTAACTGAATCTTCTAGAATCGGCTTTTGTCGAGCTTCCTTCCGCTTCATCTTGTCTCGACCACCAGGCACCAGATTGCACAATACACCCCTCAGATATTCGCTGAACATTACAGTCAGGTAGAAAAATCGATGTAACTAAAAATTGTGTGACCTCCTTCCAGGCGACGGTCTGTTATGGTCGTCTACAAGGGCTAGAAGCTGTACTCGCACAATGTTCTGCAAATGATGCAGCGCGTGTCATCAAAGAATTTGATCAAAGGTTTTTGTGAAATTAACCTAAAAATATTGATTTTGTTAGAATAGAGAAAATGTGCGCGTCAAGAGGATGTATTCGTATTCCATCAGATGGGATTACTGTAGTCTCTTCAGTCCCCTCTATCGATCCAGATCATGCCAATCGAGTTGTGGCTTTTGCGTGTGATTTGGAGGCGCTTGTCAGGTAGGAGGCATTTCATAGCGTAATCGAAAATGCCGAAACGTCGAAATAAAATTCAAAATTTTTGGTAAAAAATTCCTGAAAAATGCCGATATTTGGAAATGTCGGCATTACGAACTGTCGATATTCTAAATTATCTATTTTGTGAACGTCGGTATTCTCGATTTTCAACATCAGGAAATTACCGAAAAAGTGATTTTTCGCAAAAATAAAATTTCGACAAACAGTTCAAATTCTAGATTTGACAAAAATGATACCGACAAAAGAAATTTTCAGCCAAATAAAAATCGCCCTATTTCATATCGTAATGGAATAATTTCAGCTCATTCCGAGATGCTACAACGTCATCAGTAACAATCGAAATTGGCCTCGATTCGGGACCGATTACGGCAGGAATTGTGCGTTTTTAGACAGCTTCAAATGTTATTAACTTTTTAAATTCCAAACTGGTTAGAAAAATGCTAATTTTTAGGTTGGACGCACGAAATGGCATTACGATATCTTGGGAATTCCGATGGACAACGCTGTGCTGCTACAAAATAATGCTCCAAGTGAAGGAGTGTTTATAACAGATGATACTCGCAGATTATTGGGCAGGGAATGGCAGTTAGAAAGTATTAAATATAGGTTTATAAATTTAATAGCATTTTTTTAAGACATCGGCGATTTTTGGAAAGTCCGATCTCCAGGGGGAAATCCGGTGGATATGTTTCCTTCTAATAAAAGGTAGGGATACTGTAGTATGATTTAAAATCTAGTTTGTAGGCCAGTTAATACCATAATTTATAGATTTTCACTTGTCACCCTCCCCCAAGCTGTCAATCGCCTTCTCCAATCCACAGCTACTGCCGATACTACGGCTATTGGAATGAAAACACTCGCCCTCGGAGCCGCCAAAAAGCGAAAGGAGTATGGATTTGACTTGAATGGCCCTTTAGAAGCTTTATTGATTGCCAGGTTGATTATACATAATTAGAAAATTTAGTAAACTACGAGGACAGTCATCTACAGAATCTGAAACCAATTATACCGGCCAATCCTCGTTGATGAAAGCAATTACCCTCACTTTTACAAATGAAGCAATTGAGGAAGAGGTTTTAAAGTTATATATTTCTTTAAACTGTATTTAGTATCACAAAGAAATGGACAAATGGCTAATACCAGCATTAACGGTATCGATTTCATTCTTGGTAGTACATGGGATTTACCACTTGCTGGTCATGCCGAGGTATCCATTTTTTAGCTCGATGAAGTTGAGTTTTTAGGTTAATAACGTCTGTGGTATTAATCGTAGCTGCTTTGATATTTTTAATGACATTTTTCGCAATGTTATATGTTAATGATGTAAGTTTTGAAGCTAAAAAAAATCACTTTTTCGATTTTTAGACATTTTCGCAGTTTGTGACGAGAACATCGAGTGGTCATTCCCTGGCTGTATTGCTGATTATGGCGTTGTTATTTATGTGCGGAATCGTGAATACGGTAGGAAAAATTAAAAAACAATGGTTTTTAAACTTTTGAAATTAATTTTTTGAAAAAGTAAAATTTTCAAACTTTAAAAAAACTATATATGATTAATTATCGTATTTAAAAATATATAAACCTCAAAAAAACTACAAACTGGCACCTATACTTTGTAGTTTTCCTGCCCGGCCGAATACATCCCCGGCATCTGCGAGAAAATCCACTTTGCCGCCATTTCTTTCGCAATTTGGATCATCTGGACATCGGTGTTTTTCAGGTAGAAATACTGTATTTTAGACTGTATTTAACTAGCTAGCAATATTGTATACCAGACAGTTAAATAAAAAAAATACTTATTTTAAATTTTTAAGCTTTAAAAAAACCAGAAATATCGGATATATTTTAGATTCCGTTTTATACTCCTTGCGCCTGTGTTGCTAATGGCAATTTTGACGTATACAAGCCAAATATTCATCAGTCATCCTCCAATTGGGGCCAAGGAGTAAGTTTTCTATACAGTTTAAGGATTAAAATATTAAAATTAAGCTAAATATGCTTAGAATTTTTATAAAAAAATTAAAATGCAATTTTTCAGGTTTGTCATCGAAGCCGATTTGCTGATAAATTTAATACTCCTCGCATATCTTGTACTGCTACACACCCGGGTTTGTGAACGTCTACAAAGGCTCGATTTTTTGGCACATGTGAAGGTAGGGAATCTATACAATCTATGGATTTTTGACTTCAACGGTCCTTTAGAGTGTGGAGGAGCAATCTTCTAAAGAGCGATTTGTCATGCTGAATAATCAAGTATTGCTCAATCTTGTCCCAGCCCATATTGCACCTACATTGGCTACAAAAACTGGTAAGGAAATTGATTTTTAAATTTTGCAAATATATAAGAGACTTCGAAAAATTATTTTGATACATTAAAATGCTATTTTTTGGATTTTTAACCTAAATGTAAATTTTTGTAGATTTTCATGGTTTAAATATGTTAGCTGTATGTCAAAAATCTTATTTTTAATATCTGGATTATTGATTTCTAATACATATTAAAAATTTGGAAAATTATTTTAGCCTTGCATACGTTTTTTCAAAAATTTACACTGGAATTTAAAATATTTCATGTTCAAATCTTTTAACTGGATGTCAAAAAGCATATTTTTAATATTTTTACTTTTCAAGATGTATTCGTTTTTAATTTTTAGGCGAGTTATGGCAACACGCAGCGCATTCAGTGGGCGTGGCCTATCTGGCCATTTCCGGATTCGAACTCCATGGAGAACAAGGCCTAAATGCCCTCAATTATATTTTCGGATATTTTGATCAGGTAATACGGTAGTCAGTTTATATATTCAAATCAATAAAATATATTGAATCTATTAGAAATTAAATTATATTGATTTAGGCCCTATCGGAGCATAAAGGAATCGAAAAAGTGAAATCGGCGAATAGATTTTATGTTGTGGCCGCTGGATTGGTGCCGGATTCTGGGCATAATGTACGTAAATTTAATGGTTTTATTGGTTTAAAATTGAAAAATTGAGGAATAAAAAAAACTCATTTCAATACATAATTTTATCGATTTTTAGGTGAATGAAACCCCTTGGACCGTCGGGGAACTCCTGTATTCTCTCGCCAATTTTCTGCTTCGAGTTACAAATTTCGCGACTGAACGCCAATTCGACGTTCAAATTGGTAAGAATTAAATTTGATTTTACGAATTTTATATGAATTAAATCCTGATTTTTGTAAAATTTTATTTAGGTATTGATTGTGGGAGTACACTAGCTGTAATTTGTGATACTGGCCGACCACAGTATGAATTATGGGGCGAAACGGTTGAAAGGTGGCCATTTTGAATTTTTTACTTAATTTTAATTAGTTTAATTTAACTTAATTCATTTTTAGAGCTCGTATCCTGATGCAATCGGCTTCTCACGAAAAAATGATGGCTTCGGAAGAAATTTATCTGGCCTTAAGACCTCGCCATTTCAATTTTAGCAGCACCCCGACAAAGGTGCGTCAATTAAAGGTATATTAAACGATAGATACCTTTAGATTGGCGACAATCTAAATGCCTACATCCTGAAAGTTCGTGATGATGATGATACGGTATCTGTCGGTATTGATCAGAGATCCATATCCCCGGAATATCAAGCTGTACCTCAACAAACGGTAAGTAAGGTGTAGTTTGTAGTCTGTATCCTAGAAGATTGTAACTTGTATTCTGTAGTCTCTATTTTTGTAGTTTGAGGTCCAAAGATGCAAGTTTGTAGTCTGTACTTTCTAGCCTATGATTTCCAGATTTCAATCAACCCAACACAATCCCCTGATATGTCTCGACGGGCTGAGGAGAAACATACAATGGGTCTATTCCATCGAGCACAACAAAATGGATATCCCGATAGAACTGAGGTAGCTTAGGAAATATTAATATTTCGTAGTTTGCATTTTTAGGCGCCTTACTTTGTAGTCTACATTTTTTAGCCTGTAGCTAAGGGCTGGATTTTGTATCCTCAGCTTGGACTCTGGAATTTGTAGCCTGTAGCCTATATTTTGGTGCCTGTAGCTTATAGCCGACGTTTTGTAGTCTGTAGTTTATGACCTATTCTTCCAGGTGCACTCCTCAATGTGTTCCTCATTCTCATCGGATCTCCATTCCCTTGATGCTGGAGGAGAAACGGATTCCGGTAGGATTACGGTAGAATAGACTCTAATAAAAGTAAATTTTAGACATCGAATGGATCACCCCGGAAACGGCATTAATGGGAGTACCACCAATGAGGGTACGACCGATACCTCCATTGTTTGCTCCGCCCGGCTACAAAGTACGTTTTTGGCACCAAAATAGTTTAATTTAATTTAAACAAACACTGTATTTAAAAAATATAGTTTTTATTTGAAGTCGATGTTAAAGACGGTTTTTATATAATTTTAATGAAATTCCAGTTTCTTTTCAAAGTTTTAACTTTTAAATTTAAAAATTAATATTGGTATTTTAAATTGAATAACTATGATTATTAATTAATTAATTAAACCTCTAATTTCCAGCCCGATCCAAGCTTCATGTACTCGGATGTCTCTGAAGCAGAATCCTCCCGAAATCCGAGCCGTATGAGTGGAGCGTCCTACAGCGATCGGGGTACGGTAGAATACAGTCGCTTGTAGGTTGTAGTTTGTAGTCTAGCATTTAAACTGTCTAACCCTCTTCCCTCTAGGACCCTCCCGGCAAAGCAAAACCTCAAAAACCAGTAAAACGAGAAGATGGAGAAGAAATCCATTGGGGTGGATGAAAAAAGGTAGGATTACTGTATTTAAAGTTTCAATTTTTTATTTTTTAGGCCATTCAACATTGAGTACAGACGCGGAAAGTCTAGCTGAAGCAGCACCGGAAGTCAGATTAGAAGCTGCAGCACAAAGAGTAGATCGAATGATACGAGAATTGAATGCTTATGGAGAATTGGCCATGTCGAATGCGACTGCCGCTGATTATGCTCCGTTTCCGACTCAGGCATGGCTTTTGCATGAATTTTTGGTTAAACTGGATTACAGGCTACACTTTACTGTATCCATTTTCTTCTAAAAATATTGCCAAATGAAAAAGTGGGAGCAAAAAAACACAAAATTAACCTTTTCAAAGCTATGTTTCGCCATTTTTTCGTTTTTTCCTCTTTTTTGATAGTTTAAAAGGGGCATTCGATAGAGAAAATAAGAAAAAGTATGCTTGTAAATTAATTTCTAATAATTTTAATTGCAGTTCAAAATAATGTAAGATAAAATGGTTACAGTAAAAAAATCAGCATTCGGAAAGCTATAAATTTTAATAGCTTTTTTCGCAATTTTAATTTTTTTTGAGGGCTAAAGTAAAGTGTAGCCGACTACAGACTACAAACTACAACAATAAAGAAGAGCTGTTTTTAGATGGGCTCCTCAAAATCGATCGAACGCCTTCAGAAAAGATCACTGAATCGAGCGATGAGCAGCGCTGCTCATACAGAATATGATAATGCTGAGAGTGAGAGGGTGAGTCACAGGTTTTAATAAAAAAACGGAAAAACCAAAAACAGCAATATCATTATTTTGTAGGGATTAAGTGATGGGGATTCTCGTGCTCCTTCTCGACAATCACATCGAGCACCAGCTAAGCAGAAACGGAAACGATGGTTTTCCAGGTCGAAAAAGTGGGTTAATACAGATAGGCTACATTTATATCTTCTAAATACTCTATATATCAAAATAGGCACTAGACTCTTAGCGGGGGAGGCAAATTTTTTACCAGAAGTCAATAATTTTTATCGTCTAATTAACGTTTAAAAACCATCTTGATTTTTATAGTGTGTTGAATAGTTTTCGCCCGCTGGAAAACCACAAAAATAATTTTTAAAAATTTTGGACATTCAAAAATCGAAAAATTGATAATTTTTTGCGTTTTCCTATCTAAAAACATTGTAAAAAAGCTAGAAAAATGGTACCCTTAATCTTAAAGTTGTACGAAATGACTAGCGAAAAATTCGCCTCCCCCCCCCCGTTAATAGCCCAGTACCTAAAAAACATAATTGCTATTAGGGAACGCGATGGATGTGATGCAGATATGGAATCGCAATGTTCTTCCATGGCTTCAAGCGTGGAATTAGATCCGTTGAGATGGAAAAGTGTCCATTCGATCGGGTTTGTAGCCTATAGTCTGTAGTCTACTCAGGGTGTCCCAAAAAACGGTTGTACCCACCTGGATTTCGGTGTTCCATCCAACCGGTCCCAAATTTGGACCACAGGTGATCAGACCCTAAATAACAAGCAATCCTGACTTATAGCCCTGTAGCTTCGTGGTTTCAAGTTATAACGAAAATCCGTTTTTGCCGGAATTCGACAGTTTTTTCGGCTATCTTTTTGGACTTTGCATCGATTTGCATCGACTTCCGTCTGCGAATCCCTAATTTCGCTTAAGAACTTGGGTAACTTTGTGTTGTAAAAATCGCATAAATCAAGGTTTATTTAATAAATTTTACTCTGGAAAATTTCTTAGGGTAAAGAAGGCCTACCGGTCTTTTCGCTTATGTTTGGGGGTCTAATTCCACGAAAACCCTATGAAAATGGAAATGTTTGTTTCGCTTAACTCGAGAACTACTGTGCTACAGGGCATGTCGATTGTTTGGGTCCGCTACACTGGAATTTTGTGACCGGTTGGATTCGCGAGCCAGATGAGGCCGTTTTTTCGGGACACCCTGGTATAGTTGTCGTTTGTAGCCTATAATTTATCACCTTTAATCGATTTATTTTAGCTATGAAAATGAATACGAACTGCAATCAGATGCTGAAGGATTTTGTGTGGCTGAAATGAAGGCCCTTTCAAGGGATATCAGAAGAAATTTCGGCGAATTTGAACTTGCCAATTTTGAGGATATTGATGCCGATTAACACTTATTATAACAACCTCCTACTCGATTATATCGATTCTACAAAAATTGCCATATTTCCTACTAATTTTTAATTAATTTAAATGGTCTACCGTAATTCTAGTCGCTCTGCAAATGCTTCTGGCCAAAAAAAATATTATTTCTATTTTTTGTATAACTTCCGGTTTCTCGATTTTTTTTGTATGAATACTCGTCACAAAACGGTTATGCTTTTTTCGGTCTTCTTCTACAGTATTTTTTCTGCCGTACCCCCAAACTCAAGAAATTACCCCCAAAAATCTCTACAATTTTCTGCAATCAAAATGTATATTTTTATGATTTTAAATTGAATTTTTTTGCCAGATCCTCAATCCCAGTGTCGCTTTATTTTCCCCTTCAAAAAAACCCTCATTTTATTGCTTTTTGGAATTATCAGAAATTTTTCTATTTGTCATTTTGAATTTCCAATTTTATTTGTAAACTTTTATTTTGGGTAATTCGACCAGAGATTCCACTTTTGTTTCTTAATAATTCTCGTTTTTGATTGGGTGCTCAGCACACTACATGTGGTACACACCTTGGATGTAGTAGCCGTCGCGCAGTCCTCCGAGCTTCTCTTGGCCGGCCGTGTCCCAGACGTTGAACCGGATCTGGCCCCGGTTCGTGTGGAAGAGGAGGGGGCGCACTTCGGCGCCGTGGGTGGCCTCGTACTTCTTCTCGAATTCTCCCGTCAGATGGCGTTTGACGAATGTAGTCTTGCCCGTGCCGCCGTCGCCCACGAGCACCAACTTGAACGTTGGGATGTCTCCGGTGGCCATGCTGAAAAAAGGACATTTAGATGGAAAACGCATCAAAAAGAACAGAGGAAAAGCATGTAAATTAAATAAAACTAATATATTTTTCCGGAAACAAAATAAGATATTGATTCCGCACGGTTCCACTTTACGTTTTGGATTACGGTCCTTTGAGAAAACAGGGTAATCGTGTCAAAACCAAAAACAAATTGGAACGTTGCCAGAATTGTTTTATGTCAGAAACTGTCTAGTTTTTTTCTGGGTTTTTTTGCTATCATTGGAAATTTTCGCCATTTCTACTTTCATTTTACTTTCCTTTGGTTCTTGGTTCTTCCATTTTTCCAACCTTTATGCACCGCAAATTATCATACGCCTTTTCCAGGGATGCGCTTGCTGACAACACTTCTCTACCTGTTCTGCTCATCAGTTGCTGTCCTACAAACGGGTCTACAACTAAAGATCGACGAATTTTTCGAAGCGCCGGGTCACACCAACAACTGGGCTGTGCTTGTTTGTACTAGCAGGTGTGTTTTTTTGAATTTTTTAACAATGTTTCGCTACTTTTTCCATTTTTTATATAATGAGTTTTTGTTTAGGTTCTGGTTCAACTACCGTCACGTTTCAAATGTGCTGTCCCTATACCACTCGATCAAGAGGCTCGGCATCCCGGATTCTAACATCATCGTGATGCTGGCTGAGGATGTTCCGTGTAATCCAAGAAATCCGAAGCCAGGTTGGGAGTTCTAAACAGATTTTTTTACATTGCCTTTTCCAGGAACGTGCTTCAACGCGCCGGGCGGCCTCAACCTCTACGACTGGAACATTGAAGTTGACTATCGTGGGAATGAAGTGACCGTGGAGAACTTTATCCGCGTCCTCACCGGGCGACACGTCGAAAGTGAACCACGATCCCGCCGTATGCTTAGTGATCATCAAAGTAATGTCTTGGTCAGTTTTAAAAGTTGTCTGTTAGTTTATTTTTCTTTAGGTGTATCTGACCGGGCATGGCGGCGATAGTTTCCTGAAGTTCCAAGATGCTCAAGAGTTGACGAACTTTGACTTGGGCCAAACGGTTCAAGCAATGTTTGAAGACAATAGGTAAACTCATTGCCACAATTCTTCTAAAGTTTTGCTTTAGATACCACGAAATGTTCGTCATTGCCGATACTTGCCGAAGTGAATCCATGTACGAATACATCACAGCCCCTCGTGTCCTATCCACAAGTTCATCGTTAACCCACGAGGAGAGCTATTCGTACGATCTCGATTATGACGTCGGCGTTTTTGTCATTGACAGGTATTACTTTCAATTTTTGGCTCATGATCTTTTTAGATACACGCATTTCACCCTCGACTTCATGAACTCCCAAGTGCAAGGCCTGAACTCATCCGCTTCGATGCAACAGTACTTGGACTCCTGTCCGAAAAGCCAGTGTTTGAGTACCGTCGGCGTCAAGCAGGTAATATTTTTCCCGCCTGCTTAATTGTTTTGATCAGGATTATTACGACAAAGATCCAACGCGTGTTCGTGTCACCGACTTCTTCGGCTCTGCCCGTATTCTCAGCTTCTTCAACGAGGAGATCGACTTGGAAAGCGATTGGTAGACTGCCGTATTTTTAAATTCAGTCGTCCATTTAACAGACTGTCCGAATATTTTCTTTATTGGCCCTCGCGGTATATACAATGCATTCTTGTATATTGTTGCTCCATGCCCGATCTCTTTTCTGAATATTCGGGTGGCTTGTGCCATGGTTTATGAGTAGCCTCACTAGCACGCGTCCCTCAAACTTGTGATAATACCTAGTTCTTGCTCGCTTTGTTCTGATGTATTACGGGTGCATGGCTTGATAAATCCTTTTTGGCGCTCTTTCTCGTCGTTGCGCGATCCTGCGTAGAAGACAATCTTTTAGTTCTGGGCTCAGAAATGCAAGGTCCGGCGCATCACCAATCTTCAACTGAAGCGCTAATGTAAGGCCCAACACTCGCATGCATCGGCTGCAGTAATAAAGCTTCAATCATTTCTGAATGCGTTGTGAAGAATAAGGAAAAACTGGCTTTTATTGCAGGATAACGAATATAATCATAGGATAGAACGATATTATCAAAAATGCAAACTCGCAATGATATTATCAATATCGAGAGGGCGATCTTGTGGTAGATTTAGGGAATCGTTTCGAAGTACACGATCCCCACGTCCCAATAGCCACAGCGTTTCGATAACCTAAACAGTAGAATTTCAAGCATAAATCTAAATTCCCTACCGTTTCCCTATAGTCCGGCTCGCTGTTCTGGTTGAGCACCTCCTCCACTTCAAGCGCAAATTTGATTTCACGCCGCGTCAATTCCTAAAAAATTTCAAAAATAGTTTACAAATTTCAAATTACTTGTGTCAATCCCCAATGCAAAATGATTGCATTAATCTGCAGGCCATGGTGGAAGCGATGAACACTATCCCAGAGACTCTAAAAACACAAAAATAAGCTTAAAATGTGCAAATTACAGCATGATTGGGGACACGATTGAGGGCGCCATCGATCCTTCGATGTCGCAGCCAGATGCCGAATTGGAAATCGTCAATGCCGGCTTCTTCTTCTAGCAAATCCGCTTCCATTTCATCGACTTCTTTTGGGGTAGGAGGAGCATCGCGACGAGAATGACGCATCGATTTTCGTAGAGACTAGAAAACGTGTAATCAATAGAATTAACAAACTACCTTTCGCTCCTCAATATGCTTCCTGAAGCTGCCAATCCCAGTGCGAGTCTCTTTCGCGGCAGCTTCATCATCGAGAGGTACTTCTTCTAGAAGTCGTCCACTCAACAACATCAACAGCATTGATTTGAGCTCGAACGGGGATATTGTCAACAGATTTTGGAGAGCATCAGAAGCCGAGAGATCTTTTAGGCGTGCCAATTCGGAGGCGAGCACCTAGAAGAAAGATAGGTTTAGGGAAAGCCGATTTCAAAATACCTGAATGATCAGTCCAATTCTTAGACGGAACATTTCGACAAAAAGCTTGGGTTCAGTTCTGACAATCGAGCCGAGAGCCACGATAATTTCTTGACTGAGGGTGAAAGAGTTAGGGTCATCGTGGAGGGCTCGGAACATGATATCCTTCAGTTCTTCGTTCGTTTTTGGGCAAGTGATGGCTTCTTCTCGTTTTGACGGCATTCCCACCTAAAAACACGTATTTATTAGCTCTATTTCTTCAATACCGTAATTTGTTTTTGGCGTACAAGAAGATGCGTAACAGCTTTTCCAAGTTCTTCTAGTCGTTTGTTCAAAAGGCCAGCAGTCAGTCTTGTCAATGCCCAATCTCTGCTTTCACATGCCTAAAAAGAGGTTTATAAGCGTTATTAAACGATACCTTAGAGTATATTTCTTCCATCAATGCTCGAATGGATACTTGTCGATTGTTGATGGTTACCGGGAAGTCGCCACCACTAAAAACATCAAAATAACTTTTAGAAACTATTCTCAAATACCATTTCATCCACAAGCAATGCAGAATCGACACTTGTTCTTCCAGCTGTGTCGTATCCACCAGCATTTCCACGAGATCATGCGCTTTCATGGCAGCCATTTGAGCACGTTGCACATCATCGAGACGCGCTCTAAAAATTTCCCATTTGTACTATGAACATTCCATTACGTTGCATCCGCTTCTGTATTCAACAAATTGCTAGCCAATGATGGTATTGGAGAGGCGCATCCCGATCTGTCAGCAGATCCTGGCTTCGAATCCACGTCTTCCAAATTCTTTCCCTTCTTCGCAAAGGCCAGCCTCAGTTGGACAAGATCTAAAAAAGTTATAAAAGTATAGAAAGCACTTTATTACCCGAATCATTGCTATCCAAAACAATCGAACGATGTCTCATCGAGGCTTTATGAATGAGGTTATATGTTCTTCGATCTTTCACTGAATCCGTTCTTTTTAGCGAGCTTCTCATGGGCGAGCCATCGGACATTGGGCTATTCATTTCATTCTTTCTTCTATCCACTTCCGTTTGAAGATTGAAATGGACTCGTTCCGTCGTATCAGTTCTTTTCAGCAAATCTTCCGCTCGAGAGACACTAAAAGCATCAGATTTTACTTTTTTTGTTTCAAAATTACCCTCTAAACTCTAGTTTCAACACGGCCGTTGTCCTGAAGAAATCTCCAATATTTCTCATCACGATTCGAGCGCCGCCCAAATATCCGGTACTGATCTTCTTGATTGTTCCAATGACTGTCGATTTCATGAAGCGATTCAGGGAGATGCTTGAATAGGGCGAGAGACCATCCTAAAACATTATTTTTCAAAGAGAATTAGGTATGAAAATACCGTGGTCAACATGCTTTCATTGATAACAAGGACAACGAGTGGTCGACCGCTGATAGAAACACTATTCCATGAAGCATAGAGGTATTGCAATTCGCTGCTCCATTCGTCCATCAATATCCGGATATCATACATCAGATGTGATCGTCGGCTGTCCATAAACTAAATGAATAAAACTGTTTTTGTATTTTCATGAAGAGATAAACCTGTGGGGTAAAAGCCACGAATTTCGAGCCAAGTTGATAGAGTTGACTTGTACTCAGGAGTCCGATTTCACGATCTCTCGGTCTTCCACTGAGCCCAAGCTTTTTCGAAGCGCCGATTCTATAACAAATAAAGTAATTAGCTATCTAGCTTTGAAAACCTACTTTTCCAACAATTCGCCCAGTTTGCTCGCCGGCTCAATCATGAAAACGGGATCGACTTCATCGACTCTTTGCACGATAATTCCATTTGCTTTCAGTTCTCGTTGAACATTTTGGTTTTCAGCCAAAATTGTGACTTGAACTTCACAAGGAGGTCGTTTCTCATATGTTGTCAATCTTCGACTCAATGGATCCAATTCAGCTGGCGCCAAAAAGCCATCATATAGCAGACTGACAATCACGTAGAGAGATTGAGCCCAGAGATATGGCCTAGAAACAAAAATTCGTAGTTTTAGCTGTTTTAACTTACACAACTCCTGCAACAGAACGTGGTTGACTCCCTCGGTGTGCTTTTTCTGCAGAGACATGCTGGCGATCGACCACAAATAGCTCGGGGACCATCGATTGCCCAGTTTCAGAGACTTGTAGGCACTAAATTAAAGTTCTCTTCAAAAGGCATAAGTGAACCTTTTCCAATTGAGACCAATAAAGCTCAGCCATCGCTTTGTCCTTCGAAAACATTGCATCCAATGCCAACATGCAAAGAAATAGTGGCCATTCGCATTCAATATCTTCGAATTGTTGAAGTTCACTTTTGTTGTAGTAGAGGCGAGTTCGGTCCTAAAAACAAAGCTTTTTTGAAGGATTTTGAGGTGATATTACTTCCAGAAGAGTCCTATAGCCATCACGTAAAAAGCGGCGGCACCCATAATTGCCGAGAAGCATGGAAGTGATTGTTTCACTGTAAAAAGTAAGTTTTCAAACGTTTTAAATAGATACCGCGTGACATGGACCAGTTCAGGGTCTTCAACAGAAAATGCTGGATAGGAAATGATCGTCAGGAGAGCTGCGTCAGTTTCCTAGGAAAATAAAATAGTTTTTTTCACTTTATATCTTACTTTTGAAAAGGATTCTCTGGGCAACATGCTATTTAGAACAGCGCTACACTGCTCAATTTCATCTGGCATCACCGTGATCACAGAGGTTTTGGAACCATCGCCAAATAGATCTCCAACATCGTTCATTGCCTAGAATAAAGCAAATATGACAATTCAGTGGGTTTTTTACCTGTCAAGCAGCCTTCACCATGCCAAAAGAACTGGCATTTAGTTCGCGAATCCCTTGATTCGTCTTGTCGCCACGTTCCCAGATACCGAAATCCTGAACGTAGCAATAAACTCGTTAAAAACTGTAAAATACCGGTGTTCTGTATCCAATCTCGATATAATAACGAGATTTTGGATGAAGGCCACTTCATCAAAGTTTCGGACGATTTGGAGCCCGGAAGCTGTCATTTGAGCGACAGTTAGCAGGAAAAGCGAAATGGCGTCGATTTGTAGATGTCCCCATTCGTTGTCTCCACAAACTGCTGCTTTTGTTCGCGACTAAAAAGGCTGTTAAATCATTGTTTTAGAGTTATTACCGAAAACTTGGCATGAATGGCGTCCGGAGAGCGTTGGTATTGTTTTGCCTTTTGAACGCTTTTGCTCGTGGAACTTCAGTTTCCGGACCGTGGCCGCCTGAAAAGATGGTTTGACAAAGAAAAACACGTAAAATAACCCGGGAAAGGAAAAGGACACTTTGAAAGCAATTATTGGAGGCACCCTGCAAAAACTTCAAGGGAAATTGCCCAAAAGCGGAAATGTTGATTTTCGAGTCCGTTTGACACCAAATTGCGCTATAGGATTGTTCCGTAATCCGGTGATGCTTTAGATTTGGAATTTTTTAGAAAAAATTTAAAATAGTGTTAAATTGGGAATAATAGAAGATTGAATTGAAAACCATTGTGCCAGCTGCGCGCCTTTCCAGTAGATTTCCAGCGAGAGCCGCTTCGCACGGGGGCTGAAGTGAAGCGATTCAAGCAAGAGGAGCAACTTTTCATCGAACTTCGCCATCGCAAACAAATCGCCGCACTGCATTCTGTTCTTCGGTACATGTGTTTTGTATTTTGCAGTGTATCAAAGCGTAAAATCTGCGTCCTTTATTTGATAATTCACAGCGAGGGCAATCAATCGGTGGAAGAAAGAACACGCGCTTGCCAAATCTTTTTTTGTAGAGGACGGCATGTTCGAGTGGCACATCATCGGAAGAACGATCGGGTGATAGAAGAAGGTTAGCAGGTTAAGAGGCACGGGCAGGTCGTTATGGATGGACGGGAACTAGATGAACTTCACGCGGCGAGCCTTCAGTCACTGAAAAAACGTCACTGAATCAGTCACTAAAAAAACGAAATCGTTATATGTTTTTGTAAAATTAAATTTGCCCGCTAACCTCAAATAGCAATTTCGGAAATTTTTCAACAAAATCGTAACTGGTTCAGCTCACCTTATTTCCCCCATTATATTATATAGCTTTAATTCGAAAACTGGGAGAATTTTGCGTGTTACTTTGCGCAATTTTCCGGTAAAGTGATTTGGGCTGCCAAAAAGCAATTGTCACTCCACGGCCGCATTTCCGACAGCCCAACAGAACAGCACCCAGATTTTGCAAACTTACAACTCGAGCTGCTTCGGGTGGCACGTACGCCGATAGGTCATCTTGGCCCTTGACGAGGCCGTACTTTGCTGGCTATGGCGGCGGCGTTTCTTGCGCTTCTCGGGGGGCATCTCGTTGGCCTGAAAATCATATTGAAGAGTCGTAAGTCATAAAAGTCGAGTTGCGTCCCGCCCCCGCCCAGGTTTCAATTTGTCCACGTTAACTAGTGGGGAAACCACCTTTCCCTGGGGCCTAATTTTTCTAATAGAAATAGCGAAATTTGGAGCAGTTTTTTACTATCCCGGTTTGATTAAAAAAGTAAAAAATAAATCGCGATTTTTCCATCAAAATTTTCGCTCAAATATTTGGCTCCGTTTTTCTGGAAATATAGTTAAATGTTACGAAAAAGGCTATTAAAGTTTCATGAATTTAAAAATCCGGTATGAAAATCATTGTTACCAAGGAATTGTGGGCCGGGGTTGCGGTGGTGCTGCGCGTCGGCTGCATGGCCGGCGTGGGCGAGGCAGGAGCGTTTTTCGGGCCACTGTCGGGGGCCTCAGACGCGTTCATCGGGACCGGCTTCTGAATGAGAAACTTAATTACAAGTGTCCAGTGGCTCCTCATCAGTTATTCCCATATGGCAAATTTTCGTTACGCCGAATTACGAGTTTTCTAAGACTAAGCATTATGAAAACTTCATCGAATTTCAAAAATGTGCCGTTTTAGACTGATACTTCAAATTTTGCACCATTTAATGTAGAATTTTCGAGTATTAATAGTTTAATTTTGGGTAAGGTGGTTGATTTTTAAAGTTGCGTTTGAAGCATTCTCCTATTTTCTTTTTTGAAAATGTTTGAGCAAATCGACCCTGTGTCGCACCTCGGCGGTGATCATGTACACCTTGACGACGTTATCTTCGACGACCAGTCTGTACGGATGGTTGCTGCAAAACAGTTATTAGCGGCGCGGCGAGGAATTCCCAAAAGGCTTGAATATTTCAACAAAAAAACTTGCTTTTGGGAGAGAAAGTGGTTCACCGGCCCAGTGGGGAATTTGTCCATCTAGAAAACGGGGGTAATGCTTAATCTGGCTATTTCTTTCTAGAGTCTTTATAAACAAGGGCCCCGCGGACTATTGAGGCTTCATTGCCTCCACCGAACGCGCCACGCACCCGCGCCGCTTCGCCACCCGCGGGGCCCTCGTCACAGAGCCCTTTTCCAATTTACGGTTCTTTCGCATTATCGGGGGGCGAACTTTATTGTAAAAGTCTAGAAATGACTAGTAAATCAATTGAAAATGTTTTAATAGTGATTTTAGTAATCTATAACTATATTTCGACCAGAAAAACTATCTAAAAACCTTTTTAAAAGGTAGAATTTTGGTAAAAAATTGGTTATTTTCGGCTGAAATCGATGGTTTTTTTTGATATTTCTTAATACTGAATTTAAGAATAGTAAAAAAAAACATTGAGAACCACTTCCACTTTTTCTATTTGAAAAATAAGATCCCAAGGAAAAACAGGCGCCCCCCCGATAAAGCGAAAGAACCAAATTTACTTTATTGTAATAGTTAGCCATTGTCACAAAATTTAATTTTTTTTTTTTAATTTTGACTAGATCATTTTGTATAGCTTTTTTTAGTTGTGTGCTAGTTTTGGTCAAGGAAAAATAAAAAAAAACGGCGGGTTCGAGCCGTTCGGCGGTTCCACAACATCCCGGTCCAACATCCTTGAGCATCATCCCTGCTCAGCAGTAGTTGTCCCGCGACGTCGTCGGTGCCGCCCCTCTCTGGACGGCAACTCTTGACGTTTTCATGGAGCATCATCTTGAGCGGCAGTAGTCGTCCAGCGCGAACATCCGTACTTGTTGAAGTCGTCGCCGCCGATGTCGGACCATGGATATCGTGGAACCGCCGATCAGGCTCGACCCAACCAGGTAACTCGTATATTTGTAGCTTCGATATTTACAACCCCAAAATAACACCCCTATAATTTATTACATTTTAAGGTTCTTTAGGATTCCCGGGGGAAGTATTCCCGGGGGAAACCAATTTTTTTCCTGGTGGTCCCGGTTGACCTAGTAATCAAATATAAAGTGTTTTCGAATTGTTTTTAGTAAGTTTTAACTATATTTAAAGCAGAATAAATTTCAAAAAAATTTAGAAAAATGTTTGAAAAAGTCGAAAATTTGGTCATTTTGGGTCTATTTTTCGACCTAATTTTTAATTTTTTACTTTTTTTTGGTTAAAATGTGTGTAGTTTTTATGCACAGGAATAGTTAAAAACAATTTAGAAACGCATCCGCAATTTATACAAAAATCTAGGCTTTCGCCGAAAAAAATTTGTTTCCCCCCGGGAATACTTCCCCCCGGGAATCCTAAAGAACCCATTTTAATTTTTGTCCATTTTTCCTTTTTTATTAAACTATTATATTTTACTAGTGTGAATTTGTATAATTTCCCGCTTTTGAAAGCATATTTCTGCGTTTTCTCCGACTTTGAATCGACCGCCCGGGGGGTTCAAGCCGTTCGAGCCGTTCCACGACATCAATGGTCCAACATCCTTGAGCCGCAACCCTTGAGCAGCATCACTGAGCAGCAGTAGGTGTCCAGCAGCTTGTTCAAGTCGGCACCGCTGCCCACATCCCGGAGCTGCAACTCTTCAGCCGCATCAATGAGCAGCAGTCGTTGTCCGGGAGCACCCATCAGCCGAACTTGTTGCAGTCGTCGTCGGCGCCGCAGGTGTTGGACCATGGATATCATGGAACCGTCGATCAGGCTCGACCCAACCGGGCGAGTCGTATATTTATCGCTTTGATATCAAAACCCCCCAAAGGAATACTTTTATAGTTTATATACTTCCTTTTTTATTATTATTATATTTTACTAGTGTTAATTTGTATAATTTCCCGCTTGAACGCATATTTCTGTTTTTTTCCCGGCTTGGGATAGACCGCCCGGGGAGTTCAAGCCGTTCGATCGGTCCACGGCATCAATGGTCCAACGTCCTTCAGCCGTAACCCATCAGCATCACTGAGCAGCAGCAGTTGCCCCGCACCATGTTGAAGCCGTCTCTGCTGCCCGCATCCCCGAGCTGCAACTCTTGAGCGCCCATCATTGAGCAGCAGTCGGTGTCCAGCAGTCGGTGTCCAGCCGCGCCCATCAGTCGAACTTGTTGATGTCGTCGCCGATGTTGGACCATTGTAGTCGTGGAACAGATCGAGCAGGCCTACCCCCTCAGGTCAGCCCAGTTTTGTTTTACCCCACCCCGCCTAGATACCCGAATTTGAAATATTTTCAATTTGGATAAATTAAATTAGCATACGAAAACGTAGGAAAAATTAAACTAACAACGAATTGTATCCGCCGATGAAGGGGGAGTAGAAGAGAAAGTGATGAGACGGGCGGGGCGTTTCGCCCCACCAGGTCACCGGAAATCCAAAATTATGCAATTTATGGGAGACTTCCGGAATTCATAGTGTGCTCCACGCGAAATACATTCAAATTTGCTCATATTATTTGTTACAATCAGCATACCCCTCTACAGTATACTTTTTGTCCAATTTTTATCCAATATTATTCATTAAAACCGGCGAAACTTCGCCTAAAGCGTTAAATTTTCAATAATTCAATCATCATAGCTAAAATTTCAAATTTTTAATTTCTGGAGCTTTGAAAATGAATCTTTTGAAAATCTTCTTGTTGGCTCAGGGTCTTCATTAGCTTGTGCGGTTCTTTAGTACTTCGAGGGCAGAATCCGATTTACGTTTAGGAATGCGATTTCGAAAAAATCTATTTGAACTTGAAAAGGGGAAAGAATCAGCCATAAACGCGCCGAAAAACCGACCACTATCTGTCTCAACGGCGACATTTATTTGCTTCGGCTCGTAGACAAAGTAGATGTTGCGCAGCAAGTCGCCGGTAGTGTAGATTCGCCACGGAGCCGTCATCTGAAAAACCCCAAAATAGACGACTTTTCTCCCAATGCTCTGAACGGCCGTGGAGCTTCCATTTTCGAGAGGTCAAGCTAAAAACAATAGAATGAGTGCTTCTAAAAAGATTTTGAATACGAATTTGAGAGACTCATGCTAAAAACCAAGGTGTAAAGTCTTATTTGAACAGTTCTTCCAGCTTTTCCGTTCTTTTTTGCTGTTCGTGTTGTCAGCTAATTACTACTTTCAGATTTTGTCGCGCGTCGCTAGTGGAGGACAGCGGGGATGATGTCGAAAACAAGGTCACAAGTTTCGATCTTCGTTCAGATAAGTTTTTATGTCTTTGTGAATGCGTTTTTTGGGGGGAAAGCCGTGTATTTTGCTTCTTTTTTTAGGCGTACAGCCCGCAGCTATGCCCTGGTTTAATTGCTACGATTTTTTGAAACTTTTATTTTTGATGGTTTACGACTAAAGGGGGGACCACATGGATTTTTTCGGAATTTACCAAAAAAATTTCGAGATTTTCCGGAGTTTTTTTTTTCCGGGGCTTCGGAAGAAACTGTTTTCGGTACTATTTTTGGTGCTCTTTCAGCTCCACATCGAAGTGCGTGATGAATTTCTCGAAATTATTTTGGTAAATTCCGAAAAATCCATGTGGTCCCCCTTTGGTCGTAAACCATCAAAACCAAATTTTCAAAAAATCGTAGCAATTAAACCAGGGCCTCGGGGCTTCGGAAGAAACTGTTTTCGGTACTATTTTTGGTGCTCTTTCAAGTGCACACATCAAAGCGATTTCGCACGGTCGATTTCTTGCGGAATCGGGCTTGGAAGGCCTGGTCGACGAGGGCTGCCTAGTTGCAACATTCAAAAAATCCTAGCAATTAAACCAGGGCCTCCGGGGCTTCGGAAGAAACTGTTTTCGGTACTATTTTTGGTGCTCTTTCAGGTGCACACATCAAAGCGATTTCGCACGGTCGATTTCTTGCGGAATCGGGTTTGGAAGGCCTGGTCGACGAGGGCTGCCTAGTTGCAACATTCAAAAAATCCTAGCAATTAAACCAGGGCCTCCGGGGCTTCGGAAGAAACTGTTTTCGGTACTATTTTTGATGCTCTTTCAGCTCCACATCGAAGTGCGTGATGAATTTCTCGAAATTTTTTGGTAAATTCTGAAAAAATCCATGTGGTCCCCCCTTTAGTCGTAAACCATCAAAAATAAAAGTTTCAAAAAATCGTAGCAATTAAACCAGGGCCTCCGGGGCTTCGGAAGAAACTGTTTTCGGTACTATTTTTGATGCTCTTTCAGCTCCACATCGAAGTGCGTGATGAATTTCTCGAAATTTTTTTCGTAAATTCCGAAAAAATCCATGTGGTCCCCCTTTAGTCGTAAACCATCAAAACCCAAAGTTTCAAAAAATCGTAGCAATTAAACCAGGGCCTCCGGGGCTTCGGAAGAAACTGTTTTCGGTACTATTTTTGGTGCTCTTTCAGCTCCACATCGAAGTGCGTGATGAATTTCTCGAAATTTTTTTGGTAAATTCCGAAAAAATCCATGTGGTCCCCCCTCTAGTCGTAAACCATCACAAATAAAAGTTTCAAAAAATCCTAGCAATGAAACCAGGGCCTCCGGGGCCTCGGAAAAAACTGTTTTCGGTACTATTTTTGGTGCTCTTTCAGGTGCACACGTCAAAGCGATTTCGCACGGTCGATTTCTTGCGGAATCGGGCTTGGAAGGCCTGGTCGACGAGGGCTGCCTAGTTGCAACATTCAAAAAATCGTAGCAATTAAACCAGGGCCTCCGGGGCTTCGGAAGAAACTGTTTTCGGTACTATTTTTGGTGCTCTTTCAGCTCCACATCGAAGTGCGCAATGAATTTCTCGAAATTTTTTTGGTAAATTCCGAAAAAATCCATGTGGTCCCCCCTTTAGTCGTAAACCATCAAAACCAAATTTTCAAAAAATCGTAGCAATTAAACCAGGGCCTCCGGGGCTTCGGAAGAAACTGTTTTCGGTACTATTTTTGGTGCTCTTTCAGGTGCACACGTCAAAGCGATTTCGCACGGTCGATTTCTTGCGGAATCGGGCTTGGAAGGCCTGGTCGACGAGGGCTGCCTAGTTGCAACATTCAAAAAATCGTAGCAATTAAACCAGGGCCTCCGGGGCTTCGGAAGAAACTGTTTTTGGCAGCAAAACAACGCTCACAGATATATCTGGTTGATCTAGGGGGGTCGATATGATTGCGAATTTCGTCGTAAAAAAGGTCGCATTCAGGGCCGGGTCTCAGCAGATCGCAGCTCAGGTAGTTGCTAGAGCTACTGTACGTACGGGAGGGAAGGTTGAGGGAGGAGCATCAGCAACAACGACACCTCCTGGGGACCACCACCCTATTCTTACTAACAAGGAGACGTTTTTGGTGTGAATGGAGTTCTAAGTGGAAACCAGGCCTATTTTGTGCAGAATTTTGCGCTGATTCCGAATATGTTTTCCATTTCTGCTAAATAGCTCGATTTCAAAAGTTATAGCAATTTTAAGATCATTTTAGCCCAAATTTTCCCCTCTCTAGGGACCATTATATTGCTTTTCCCGGCTGTTTTTCCAAAAATAAATATCGTCACCGTATTCAGAAAAATTTTCTCTATCGAATGAGCTATTTAACTCAAAATTGTTGAAAATCGAAAAAATCGACGATACTTGGTATGGGCTGCGATTTTTGTATGGGAAATGGTGAAAAACAGCCTATTTCTCACCCCTGTAAGCCATCGTCGATCGGCAGTAGCGCACTAATCAAATATACCATTCGAATCAGAAAAAAATTCTCTACAAGATAGGCTACTTAAACAAAATTAAAACGTTATAACAAAAAAGTAGCACAGCATAGCATATGGCTACTCTGGGCCTAAAAATTAACTTAAAATAGCTGTAACCTTTAAATCAAGCTATTTAGCAAAATTGGAAAACAGCATCGGAATCAGCGCAAAACTCTGCACAGAATAGGCCTGGTTTCAACTTAAAACTCCATTCACACTAAAAAACGTCCCCTTGTAAGGTAGCCGGCGCCGTTCCGGAAATCTCTCGGTGTAGTGCTTAGGCTAGGGCTGCTATGGACGGCTAACTTCGTAGCCCGATCCAACAAAAATCAACAACCAAGTATCTAGCGGTGCAACGCGCCGAGAACAAATGCCCCAACAAATCCGGCCGGCCCAAACAAGCATACCAGTCCGGGGGCTCGTCCTAAGCCTAAGCCTAACCTAAGCCTAAGCCTAATCCTAAGCCTAAGCCTAAGCCTAAGCCTAAGCCTAAGCGTAAGCCTAAGCCCAAGCCTAAGCCTAAGCCTCAGCCTAAGCCTAAGCCCAAGCCTAAGCCTAAGCCTAAGCCTAAGCCTAAGCCTAAGCCTAAGCTGAGGGTCAATCTTTGGCCTACTCAGTGGAAAGCTGGAGAACCCCCTCCACACTAGTGGGCCAGGTGGGGGGCGGGTGCGAAGCAAGCAGTGAAGCCCGCCCTGCGATTCCGCTACGAAATAGCGTCCGGAATGCGGAAACGCCCGATTTGGCTGAATTGAGGATTAGGGGTCTTCGAGCTGCTGTTGCGCCAAGGAGCGATGTGACGGCCGAGCCAGTTAGCAACCCGCAATGAGCGTTTCAAAGCGCTTCGCACGGTCTACTTACAGTGAGCGGAAGCGCGCGGCCCGTTTTGGAAAAAATCCATGTGGCCCCACTTTAGTCGTAAACCATCAAAAATAAAAGTTTCAAAAAATCCTAGCAATTAAACCAGGGCCTCCGGGGCTTCGGAAGAAACTGTTTTCGGTACTATTTTTGGTGCTCTTTCAGCTCCACATTGAAGTGCGTGATGAATTTCTCGAATTTTTTTTGGTAAATTCCGAAAAATCCATGTGGTCCCCCTTTACTCGTAAACCATCAAAACCAAATTTTCAAAAAATCGTAGCAATTAAACCAGGGCCTCGGGGGCTTCGGAAGAAACTGTTTTCGGTACTATTTTTGGTGCTCTTTCAGGTGCACACATCAAAGCGATTTCGCACGGTCGATTTCTTGCGGAATCGGGCTTGGAAGGCCTGGTCGACGAGGGCTGCCTAGTTGCAACATTCAAAAAATCCTAGCAATTAAACCAGGGCCTCCGGGGCTTCGGAAGAAACTGTTTTCGGTACTATTTTTGGTGCTCTTTCAGCTCCACATCGAAGTGCGTGATGAATTTCTCGAATTTTTTTTGGTAAATTCCGAAAAAATCCATGTGGTCCCCCCTTTAGTCGTAAACCATCAAAAATAAAAGTTTCAAAAAATCGTAGCAATTAAACCAGGGCCTCCGGGGCTTCGGAAGAAACTGTTTTCGGTACTATTTTTGATGCTCTTTCAGCTCCACATCGAAGTGCGTGATGAATTTCTCGAAATTTTTTTGGTAAATTCTGAAAAAACCAGCTGATTAAAGCCACTTCGTGGCTTTAATCAGCTGGCCTTTGCGTGGGCCCTGCATGACTTTGAGGTACCTGCAAACTTATAATCGAAGCACGAAGCGGTGATGCAAAATATAGACCGTGTTTGACGGATTGATCTGATTCATTGCAATTTTGCTGGGACTGTAATCGGCTGGCGACTGTAATCGGCTGGCCTTCGGGCTACCCTCGATGTTCTACGCCACCACATTACACCTCTACCTTAATCAATACCCACGCCCACCTTCAGAACCTTCTCTAGCCAACCCCCGGCAAAAAGTTAAACTACCTATCCATACTAACTACCATAAACTACTTAACTGACTAACTACATACCAAAACTACTTAGATGTCTTCCTCATCGCTTCAGATACCCCCCCATAGCCGAAACCCCCTTAAAAACAACTTCAATAACTTAGGTTCTCCCCATAGCCGAAACCCCCTTAAAAAACGACTTCGATACCTTCCTGGTGGCTTCAGATACCCCCATAGCCGAAACCCCCTTAAAAAACGACTTCGATACCTTCCTGATGGCTTCAGATACCCCCATAGCCGAAACCCCCTTAAAAAACGACTTC